GGAACATATAACTATTCCTTATTGGGTTAGCTTATACATATTGTAAGGTTGGCACTTGCCTTTTTTTCCTACTTTCAATCACCATTTATTTTTAAATTCAAGAAAGAACACCTGAGATTCATTTATTGGTAAAACAGTTTTTGATAATCGGGTTGAAAATTGTGTCATAGATGAGTACGTTGAGGATGAGAGCTGTGTTCAAGTTTTGGAATAGACTAACTACGGAGTCTATGGTTTTGGTAAAGTAGGTGAACTAATGTCAATTCAGGTATTTAAAAAAAATGTGTACACAGTTTTTACTTTGATGTACACATGTAGCTAGGTTGAACAACGCATCTAAACCTCACTACATACAAAACATTCGGAAACACAACAGTGTCATCACATCTCATCACATTTGCATAATTTGTTACCAATGCTGGACTAGGTTATGGGGTTGGTTCCGCAAATATGTTCAAGATTTGTGATAAAATTTCCTACAATTATGGTTCATTCCAATCCACGAAATACATGCACAGCTTTATGTGATCTATATGGCCAAGGCAAAACTACCCCATAAGTTAATGAATTATCAAGTAAGAACAGGATGATTAAATACATGGGTCGATGTGGCAAGAGAAGGATTTAAAATTGCTGAGATCAAAGTAAGAATGTTACTGCTTTCTGGAGTACGGTATCAGATATTTTTATCAAAAAAAGATGAAGATTTACTTATAAATCCGGATACAATCTGAATGATTTTCCTAAAGCAGATGGAATTAGTGGTTAGTAATAAATATTGACTCTTTCCGTAACATGATAGACTAATTATATGAACTCATTCTCCCATATAGTGAAAGTGGCTTTGGTATGAAACAAACTCATGAACAAACAATTATAAGACTCCTAAAAAACCTTTTGGGCAACCTAAAGCCGATAAAAAGAAAGGTAGGAAATATTGTGTTAAACGAATTCATCAATCACGTTTTTTAGGGAACACAATCGTCATACTTATTATTGCTTATCCCCCCTTCATATAACTAAGATTTTAATGACTTCACTCTATTCAACGCAGTTAGCTGAATTTACATAAAACCTCAAGATTAACCGTCGATTTCGACGGGGTTCCACTAGTAATTTATTTAATTAAAGGCTTAATTAATGATCATTAACTTATAAAGAGGAGGAAAAATGACAAAACTAAAATCCTCAATCCCTAGAGGACCACTAAACCTTAATTTTAACACCTCAATCATTATTTTATCACAACAGTTTTTTTAGAAATTCTGTTACAAAGTTAACATTGCTCTTATGGGACTAAAATTCAATATGGTTACCACTGATGAAGACTCTAAAGTTTGCTACTGGCTCCGAATTGTTTCCCCTCTATAGTCATTGAAACCTGTTGTTCGACTTTTACGCTAACAAATGACAGCAGATAAAAATATGATAAACAAAATCATACTAGTTTCATTAAATCTTTTTTTCTTTTTTGCTACTACTTCTAAAGACATTGATATTCATCTGTCTTTATTCACTGGCATTAAACGTACGGTAATAGTTTTATGCCAATTTAAATCCCCAGATGTAATTAATTAGTTTAATGCCACAGTACTTCAGGGATTAAGTTTTGGTGGGAGAGGGCTAAGTAAAATAATCAGTATTTGATCGGAAATAATTTCCCCTATCGAGTAATCTTCAGTGTAATCTTTGCTCAATAGTTAGATGCTCTGGATGTCTATCATGAACTTGAATTAGAAAATTACCCAGATTTTCGGTCTAACTATTCTCCTCTAAATAGTTTAGATGAATTAATTTATTAAATTAATACAAATTTTGTCACGCTTGAAAATAAAATAAAAATCTCAAAAGGTAAAACTGAGAAAGCCTCTCTACTCCACAACCTTCGGTTGTTCGTTTACCCAAACTTGAGCTAAAACATTTCAGTGGTGAACCAGAGTGGGTTTCATTTATTAATTTATTTGACTGCAGCATTTATAAAAAAAAAATAAAAACACTTCTATGTATGATAAATTGCAATATTTACTGGGCATATTGTCTCAGGAGAACCGTTGAATTTAATTAAATCACTGCCTATCCCTGACGCTAACTAAGGTGGCCTACACGATTTGCTGAAAGATCGCTATCACCTAGACGATTGGTTACTTTGCATATCAATCAAATTCTAGATTTGCCTTCTGTAAATCACACACCAAAACAGATGAGCAAAATTTGTTAACTCATACAATGAGAACATTCAAAGCGCTCAAGGGTCTTGGAAATGAGGCACTACTGAAAATAATCCCCTCTTATCTGCTATGATTCTGAGAAAAGTGGATTGATCTCAGGAAGAGGTTTGAACATTCTCGTTTATTTAATAACACTGATGCTGGTAGAGATACCTCAGTTTTACCCGATGTCTCAGAATTGATTAAATTCCCCAACTATCGCAGGAAGGAATGAAATCGAAGAAGCAAATCTTCTCTACTCCTACTTTAAAGGCTACGTCAGCAGACTTGTCTCGTTGTAGTTCTTGAGCCCAAGAAGCATTTTTTGGGAAGCAAAAGGGTTTCTTTAATGTCTTCTTACAACAATGAAGATGTTAAGTCTAGCATTTACACCCCCCCCCCTCTTCAAAAAAGTGCTTCGTTTGTCACAAGACTGATCATAGATTGTATTTTCTTACTGGACTTGGATTATTCCCACTGGTATCGCTTCAGCATTAATGGATTCATTTCCTCTTCAGGGATGCACATGGCCTAGACATATTTCATCAACAGTGTCGATTTATGATGTTACTGATGTTAATATTAATGTTTCAATAACTTTAATATATTTAATTAATTTTAACTGTTGCGTTAGATTGCTTAGGCTGAGCATACACGTTACGTTATACTAGTGAGGTATAACTGGGCAGGTATACCTCTCCGGTATACCTTTACCAGCCTGTACACAGGCAAGAGCTCACACACGTTAAGGTAAACCGGATGTGTGAAGATTTATAGAAGAGAAATGGTAGTCTTATATCATATATATACTAGTAGGTAGTAAGTAGCATAGACTAAGAAGAAATTTCCTTAGTCAATGGTAGTAGATAAATGGCGAGCTAACGATTATGATTGCTTTGGTGGGTTTGGCCTCTCTTATCACGGTCATGGTATTCCTTGCTCTTAATTTGCCACATAGGGTTCTGATCTATAAATTTCAATGAATTCCTCTAGAATTCGATTCCCTTTTCGGACAGCCATGATCATGATGACCATCTGTGTTTGAAATTGTCTGTATCATAGATGAAACTCCCTTCTCCCTTGTTTTTTAGCGAATTTCCCTATAGGGAAGTAGTTATTACCGTAGGTCTCATGGTAAGACCTAGGCCCGGGACCGTTTTACTTTTTCATTTTGATGTCCCCGGAGGCCAAAAACACCTTTCGTTCAAATTTTTAACGAATTTCCCTATAGGGAAGTAGTTATTACCGTAGGTCTCATGGTAAGACTTAAGCCCGGGACTGATTTACTTTTTCATTTTGATGTCCCCAGAGGCCAAAAACACCATTCGTTCAAATTTATATATATATATATATATAGATTTATATATATATATATATGTGTCCGTGAACACGATAACTTGAGTAATTTTTATCCGATTTTGATGAAATTTGGTTTGAAGGTGTAAGGTGGGATAAAATTGAATGAGTTCGCAATCCAGCATGATCGGACTATGGGAACAGGTTTATGGGGTAAAAATAGGTTTTTCTCATTTTTGACCCTCAAAACATAAAATTTCCCAATTTTTCTCTAAACCTTCTTAAAGGGCTTAAAAAACGAACAATTCAGTATATCAAAGTGTTTTCATACGATTATTAGATACGGAGAAAACTAAAGAAATTGTAAATTTAAAATTCCCATGTTATTCTTATGGAGAATATTGTAAAATGTTGTAGTTTGCGTGTTTAAGGATATATTTGGATCAAACTTGGCAAATATATTGATTTTGTACTAAGCTATAATTATTTTACTTAAAAACACACTTCCTTGTAGCAGCAAACCTATGTACTCGTTACACCTAATGTTATTTAAATTGATCAATTGAAAATCAATTCAGCCAAATGGAAATTCGCTTAGACGGCAGGTTTGCTGCGGCGGGGGTATTTATATATAATATATGTATAATATATTTTTATATTTTTTATATATGTGTCCATCCGCACGATAACTTGAGTAATTTCTGTCCGATTTTGATAAAATTTGGTTTGAAGGTGTAGTAAGGCGAGATAAACTTGAATGAGTTCGCAAACCAGCATGATCGGACTATGGGAACGGGGGTTTTATGGGGTAAAAATAGGGTTTTCCCATTTTTGACCCTAAAAACGCAAAATTTAACAATTTCTTTCTAAACCATTTTGTAGAGCTAAAAAAACAAATAATTTAGAATATTGAAGCGTTATTATGTGCCTAATTGTTACGGAGAAAATTCAAAAAGATTGTAGTTTTAAAATTCCCATGTTATTCTTATGAAGAATAAGTAAACTGTTGTAGTTTGCTTGTTAATGAACATATTTTGATCAAATTTGGAAAATAGATTAATTTCTTACCAAACCATTTTACTAATCTTTTAACATTTTACACTTTAAAAAACCTTTTTACCCTCCCTGTTGCATCAAACCTAAGTACTCATTAAACTAATTCTGTTTAAATAGGGAATAAATGTGTTATTTTTAAGCAGACATTTTAGTTTTAATCCAATCAGGCAAATGGAAATTCGCTAAGTTTGCAGGTTTGCTGCGGCGGGGGTATTTTATATAGTCAATGGGGCGATACTCACTTCACACAGTACTATTTTGACATGGTGCTCATAGGCTGTTTACAGACGCTAGAAACAGGTGGGCGGCAGCCCTGAAATATTAGAAATAATTTAATGTAATTCAAGAATATTAATCTTCTGCTGGCAGCTGACTCCCATATGGTGGGCAAGTAAGTTACTTTACCTTATTTCACATTTTTATTTATTTTTCTATGTTTTCTTTCCGATCTCAAAGCTGATCCTGTCTGTAAATAAATATGTGAGGTTGTGGTTTGAGTTTGTGAATAATTGTAAGTGGGTCGTGTTTTATTTTATGATTGCGACTCAAATTATTTAAAACAGTTATGTTATCAATTAAATTGTTTATTTTATTAGAAAACAATCAAGGATTTCCCCTGCTATATTTATAAATCAGTCCATCGCTCTCTGTTCAGAGTGTAAAATTTATTCATAGATTTTAGGGAGTGATAGCTTAAACTTTCTTTTTCAGTCTAATGAGTTTAAAGGTAAGACCTAGTTTAGGCTTCAGTTAGTAATAACATTAATGTATATTCCATAGTTCATGTTAGAAGCATAGCTGAAGTACCCGGTAATATAAAAAATAAAAGGTTGTCATTGTCAATGTTAGTGTTCTTCAAGATAACTTATAGTACTTAGGCCTACCCCCTTTAAGTTATATTTCAATAGGCCTAGGCCTAATTAACTTATTATTGTTTAGCATTTTATTGCTTCTTTCAAGATAGGCCAAGGCCTGGTAAGTTATAGGCCTAGATTGATTTTATTAAGCCTGTCTCATGTTTGAATTTTTGTAAGGAATAACTTAATTTTTGTTGTTTTTTGCCTCCTTTTTTGGAATAACTTAGCCAAACCCCGATCTTACTATAGTCCTCGCCACCCTAACTTGAGGCAGCCCAAGGCTGCACGCCGTATATCTATTGCGGCCTTGGGCTGCCTCAAGTTAGGGTGGCGAGGACTATACCTAAGTTAAGTTATTTATTCTCAACCTGTTGGTAGGAAATTAAATCTAGGCTATAACTCCCTTCCAAACCACCTAAGGAACCTTGACTGTACAGCGTTTAAGTCCGAGCTGAAGAACTTGCTCACAAATAGGCCCCTGTATAGTCTTGACGAGTTGTCAAATGATCCTTTGATGCCAGGTTGAGAAACAGACACGCTTAGGCCTACCACAGCCTAAGTTTCAAGTTTTTAAGTTTTATGATACTTTGTAAAGCAAGTTTTGTATATAATAATTTTGTAAATAATTAGTATAACGACGCAATCTATCCGATACTTCGGTCAAAGATTAAGACAACAAGTATTCAAGTATTCAACTATAAATAGGCCTAGAACTAGAGTTTGTAATCAGTTTTCTTTTTAAATCAAACTGTGAGCAATCTTCGGATATGAAAGCAACAACATGATTTTTTTAACTTTAGCCGATAAACAATAAATGGTAATTAAGTTACTTTAGTATTATCCGGCGGCCACTTATTTTAGAGAGATGTTTTTTACCGGAGGTCAAAAATAACTAAGGTACATAATTGGAAAGAACATACTTTATTGACTTACCATCCAATTTTGGCATGATTACAATTAGCGGCCTTTGAGTTCTGCCTCCTAGAAGGCTGCGATGTTGGCGAGGATTGAGTTGAATGCTTCGACACCGCTTGACTCCGCCAAGTAGGTATACAGCGTGCTGCGGCGGTTATGTTAGGTTGGGTTATCATAAATATGTTTGTAGGACTTTCCTCGTTTCGTTATGAATCGAACGATACCAGATGAGTCATACTTTTGCCCGCCAAATACCCTAGATACAGGTGACAGGTGATGCTCGCGCTCCGGTCAACGACCTGACCTTAGCCTACTTGGAGAGAATTTGGCGTGCGAAAGTATGACTCATCTGGTATCGTTCCATTCATACCTAACGAAACAAGGAAAGTCCTACAAACATAATATTTATGATAACCTAACCTAACATAACCGTCGCAGCGTGCTGTTTAAACATGGCCTTCAGATAATACCAAAGTACCCTACCCAATAAATTATTCTTTATTAGGCCTACTGTATATGTTTAAACCTTAATGACCTAGAGCACAGCAGGGCATTAACATTACCATTCACCCCAATCAGAGTAGTGTCATCTGCATAGCAAACAACGACATGTGAAATCCATTGTGCTTGGATTTAGTTTTTGGGAAAGGCCTAACTTACTTCAGTGAAAAATCCTGTAAGTAAATACACAAAAATCAAATAATTCTGTAATTGCTAAGCCTTTCCCTGCATTTAAGTTATTTCTATGTAGTAGTTAGTGCTCTATGTAGTAGTTTATTTCTATATATAGGCCTATATATGTCAGTCGTCAAACGGAGTTTTTATCTTTTGCAGGGTACACACTAAGCGATGAAGGTGGTAGCTCTGGTTAGTGGAGGCAAGGACAGCTGTTTCAACATTTTACAATGTGTTGCAGCCGGACATGAGATTGTTGCGTTGGCCAACCTGAGACCCGAGTCCAACCTACGAGGTAAGCCTGTACATTTTCCTAGGAATCTGTTATAGCCTATTATTGATAACAAATATTAATCAATGCCATTAAACAACTTAAAACTCTCTTTTAGAAAAATAGTCCTGTGATAAATAACATAAGTTAGCAATAGAGTGCTTATAAGAAAACAGAGTGAACTTGTGGCATTGAGTACAGATAGACACAAATCAGCAGTGAATGAATAATTGACTGAATGTAACTTAGCTGATCAATGTTTTCTTAACATTCCATTGAGCAATGTCATCACTCCTATACCCTACATGCTAAGCTTGTACATTATTTGTAAACGTAAATTCCAAGGGGTAGTAAAACTACCTATTTTGTCAAACAGGCTCACCTCAATAACTTAAGTCAAGTTTTTAAATAAATTTTTTATGTCTACGCTGTTGGTATTTTTAGATGAGGAGTCTAGATTGGAAGTACTTAAACGCTTTTAGGGAAAGCGGTCCAAACCCTTATGTGTTTAGGATATGTCGGGAATCAAACTTCTTTCCCATGTGCTCAGAAGTAGTTCAGGGGCAATACAAAAGAGGTCCTCAGTTTTAACTAACTAATTTTTTAAATAATTGAGGGCTCAGTTGACAAGCATTAGAAGTCCTGCATGCGCTCAAGTGACCGGGGAGAAAATTTGTAGTCTTGTACCGGTAATAAAGTTTTTCAACAACATACATGATTCGGTTGAGCCGATTACTCTTAATTTCACCAATTTGCTATTAAATTTATGAGCTGAACTTGTAAAAATTGCTTTTCCTACAGTTACCTAACAATGTACATGTTCTCTCACTGATTTGAGAAAGCAAAGTGGCCAATTCGCTCATCAGTGAGACAATGTTAACATTGTCTCACTCTAATTACTTTGTCTCACTCCAGATTTGCAACGTGAAGGCACGAAATAGTGAGCGCGTAACATGCAGGCAACGTCGTATGCGCGCAAAATACGTTGGCAGCACTGGCTGTAAATCAGCTGGTCAGCTGTTGTACTGTTGTATTTGTCACTTCACGTTAAATGTTATATTAAAAGTTCACTTCTGTGAAAAAATAGGTTATGTTTCTTCGCAAATTTATTTGTTTTATGGTAACTGCAGGAAAACTATAATGTGCAACTCGAGTTCAAAGTACAATTGCCTCACTCGAGAAACCATTCCTCACTCGCCTACGGCTCGTGAGTAAGGATTTCTCTCGAGTGAGTCAATTGCTCACTTTTCTCACTAGTTGCACAAATAACTATTGTCATAATATATTTATAAAATGTGTTCATCAAGATTCTTTGTGGATACTTTGTTCGGTTAGGCCGATTACCTTTAAAATTCATCAATTCAATATTAAAAAATACTAGCTGAAACTCAGGCAAATGAAAAGATAAAGATTTGTTAAAATAAAAATACTGTAGCCTATAAGTAATGATCAAATTAATAAGTCATGATACAAACAATGCAGTTACCTTTGTACACAATAGATCAACAATTTGAGAGAGTGAGAGAGATGATTGTATGATTGAAGTTAGTGGCTTTTCTCATTTAAAAAATACAAATACTCGGGAACCTAGCTTAGATGATTTTATATATTTATTTTAGGTTATCAGACTCCCCAAAGATGCTCATTTGTTTACCAACTGGCCAGTTTACAATTTAATACAACAGGGATTATTATGCAGGTTTGTGAACTACATCACTCCTTGTTGATCAGTGCAATGGGGCCAATCGACTTCTGAGTCGATTATTTGATATTTTATTTAACATTGATGATTATGAATTTAATGGGAGTCTATCCTTATAACCCTTTATCAATCCTAGCCTTCGACCGAGTACTTTGTTTCCCCCATTTACTTTACACAATCAAACTCTCACTATTAAAATGTGATTTTCTGCTAAAATATTATCATGTTATATGGAATACAAAATGTTATATTTAATTATGCTAATAATGGTAAAATTTGACCCTTACATAGAACATAAAAAATTTAATACTATATCACATAATCAATACTCTTTATATTATTTGGCTATTTCAATTCAATTTAATAAATAATTTTAATTTGACAGAATTACTGATACAGCCTACACCCTTTGTATAGCATGACCAATTTAATAAAACACTTTATTACGAAGTTGTGACCATGTGCTTTCGATATGCCAAATGAAACATGAAAATATCAGATCAACTGTGAAATGATTTTACTGACTGGTAAAAATGAACTGTACTTGTGATAAAATGGCAGATTGGCAGTACTAATTATTTCTAAGACACAAATAACACAAAACATTTACTTACATACACATGTCGACACATTTAACACTCACGCTGACAAAAGATTCACACGGACAAACATTTAAAATCTGACTCGTAGCATTTGTCTGACCGAGCGAAATTTCACGACACGGTTTTTCCGGTGTAGGACTTATTAATTCTTGTTTTTCGAGCTGGCGTTATTGATTCAATTAAAAATACCGTCACGACAATTCGCTTAGAAACTGACATTTACTATCGATTTTATGCATGTACGAATTTTCTTCACGAAGTGCAACAATCAACCCGGCATCTCAACTGTCTTGACTTAATACTAATAAAATATACCCCCAATTGCAGTTCGGCGAAATTTTGACAATTGCGATCACTTGATGCACGTACAACTTTCACCTGAACGCGAATTTCCTAGCTACGAATTAAGATATTAATAAAATTGCCCTACACCGGTGACATACGACCTTTGCTGTTGATGGCGCGACTACGGGTAACGAGGAGTGCACACGGCCCAATTAGAGTCCTTTGCTGTTGTATTCCTCCTCGTTACGTCATGGTTGGACTGACTTGTCCGTTGCATTGCGCGGATTTTAGACCTTTGGATTTAAAATCGGCACAATGTTAAGATGGGCACTAGTGGATAACATTTGTTACTTTCTGAGATAGCCTTTGTAATAGCTTAATCATTCTTAAGTCAGGACATTGTTAATAGAGATGGAAACACCTTTTACCATAGACAATAGAATTAAATATAGACTGACAATGGAAGGTTCCGCGTTTTGCCACTATAGTGTGCTCCAGGTTCATCGATTCACTGACCGTCATTTATTCACCGTCTGCTACCAGCACTACCACCCTTGCAAACGAAATGCTATCAACGTATCAGACCCACTTTTCAATATGGGTAAAGTACAAAGTTCTGAAATCCCTTAATTTTAACAGAAAAGCCAGTTAATAACACAGAAAATAACGGAACAAACTCCTACTCCCCGGAATCTGGGGAATTCTCTGGGGAAGTTGGCAACCCTGGCTCCAACTACCAACTTGTCATGGCAACACCTAGCGCTTGATGTTGCAGCGGCGTGCGCCAAAACTACACGGCACTCCTAACGGTGGACTTTACAATATTTATGTTAAACGCAGCTCTGCTGTCAGTCGATATTTAATTCTTTTGTCTATGCCTTTATTTTGCAATAACAGTCAAAAACGTTCCTTAGATTTTCGGCAATAGGTGAAACTATTTTAATTATTTTTGTCACTTATTGCCTCATTGTCTAGTTCTAGTACGTTTCAGCTGGTCTTTCTAACCCAGGGTTATTTCTAGTTCCTGTTATTCTGGTGATCAGTATTTCGAGAGACAAACTATTAGACTTAGGCTTACTGTGTTTTGAGATGCTCACTGTTGTTAGGAAGACAATATCAGTGTTGTTTCCCTCACTTGTTTGAACAGTTCAGACAACATTACAAAAATTATATGGTATTCCCAGTAAATATTACCAAGATATTATTATTTGGTGATGAGCGTGTTAATATGTGTGAAGGAAGATACGATCAGCCTTATTCCTCTCATTCGTTCTAACAGTTCAGATGAGGTTACTAAAATGATAGGGTGCTTTCAGTAATCAAGTTAATAGTATTATCCTATTACTTTAAATAGTTGTCAACATGATTGTTATTTGTAACAGATGAGTTGGACAGCTATATGTACCAGACGGTGGGACATCAGGGAGTTGATCTATACTCAGAAGCTTTAGGTCTTCCGTTATTCCGTCACAGAACCCAAGGCAAGGCTCTAATTCATGAAAAAGTTTACACGGTTACTCCTGAGGATGAGGTGGAAGACTTGTACAAACTTCTAGCTCACGTCAAGGTTAGTTTTATTCATACTTCTAGCTCACATCAAGGTTAGTTTTATTCAAACTTCTAGCTCACGTCAAGGTTAGTTTTATTCATACTTCTAGCTCACATCAAGGTTAGTTTTATTCATACTTCTAGCTCACGTCAAGGTTAGTTTTATTCATACTTCTAGCTCACGTCAAGGTTAGTTTTATTCATTCTTCTAGCTCACGTAAGGTTAGTTTTATTCATACTTCTAGCTCACGTAAGGTTAGTTTTATTCATTCTTCTAGCTCACGTCAAGGTTAGTTTTATTAATACTTCTAGCTCACGTCAAGGTTAGTTTTAGTCATTCTTCTAGCTCACGTCAAGGTTAGTTTTATTCATACTTCTAGCTCACGTCAAGGTTAGTTTTATTCATAACAGTCCATAGCTCACATCAAGGTTAGTTTTTTGTTCATACAATCCATTCTATAGCCTGTGCATTTTCTACGACTAAAAAGTCCTCACCTTCCCTTTGTCTGTAGGCCAAACTTTGACCAATCATTGCTGAATTATTTCTTTGAGAACACTTCAAAGGATAAAAATAAATACATTCAATGTAACTAAAAACATGAGACGAAACTAAAAAAGATACTGCTACTCCAAACTGCCAACTTTGATAATGCTGCGTTTGCAGTGAAACTTGTCAACAGTAATTTGTTGATGAAATTCTTGACTTCAGGCATAGGTAGGAAACCTATTAAGTAGGCCTTTCTGTTAGTTTGAGCGAATTTCCCTATAGGGAAGTAGCTATTATAGTAGGTGGCATAGTAAGACCTGGACCTGGGACGTACATACTTTTTCATTTTGATGTCCTTAGAGGCCAAAAACACTATTTGTTCAATTTTTTATATATGTATAACCTATATATACGGGGTAAAAATTGGGTCTTTTCATTTTAGACCCTCAAAACATAAAATTTCAACATTTCTCTTTAAACCATTTTTAATATCTTAAAAAAAACAATTTAGTATATTGAAGTGTTTTTGTATGGTTATTGGTAATGGAGAAAATTCAAAAAAATTGTCAATTTAAAACTCTCATGTTATTGTTATGGAGAATAAATAAACTGTTATACCTAGTTTGCTTGTTTATGGATTTAGTACCTGGGGACCGAGCTTTGCTCGGGAAACTTTATCACTATACTCTGAAATTGTTCTTTGATCAATGTAAATCCATCCCAAAAATATTATTTTGCGGTCTATCTTTTCTTGACATCTATTTAACTTCTAATAAAATAATAATATCATAGTTTACTGAAATGATGAGCAAGAAGAGTTTTTAACAATTTGTTTGATTCTTCTAAACGGCTCAAACTATAGAAAATACCCAGTATTTTTCACATTGAATTCGAAAAAGGCTATCAGCAGTAAGTAAATGTTCTCACCTTCCTTTTTTTGAAATATTATTTGAAATATTTGAATTATTTTTTTGAAATACCCACTGCTGCAAGAACTGGGCTCGCTGCGAAACTACAACCGGGGACCGTTATGGAGAATAAATAAACTGTTATACCTAGTTTGCTTGTTTATGGATTTATTTTGATTAAACTTGGCAAATTTATTTGTTTTATAGGCCTACTTAGCTATTGATATTTTACTAAAAACCCACTTCAAGACCCTCCCTGCAGAAGCAAACCTAGGTACTTGTTAAACCTAATGTAATTTAATTAGATTTAATTGAAAGCCAATCAGGCATACGGAAATTAGCTGGGGCGGGAGTATTATTTTATTCAAAGAACAACTACTGTAGTGTAACAGTTGACCGAAATCGAGCAATTGCAAAGAAGTAAAGTAGTTATTGAAAAACAAATAACTTAAAATCACTTGACCTTTATGAAAACATATACCGATATTTAATGTCCTTGCCTTACCAGTTTAAATCAGCCTTAGAGGGGTTTCCTTTGCCAATTATCATAATGTTAAGTCCATGTTTCCCACAAAATAGTAGTTCTATGGCTAACGTCCTTGTTCATTGTTTGTGGGAATCTTCATATTGTAGGTGTTCATCATTATATAGGCTAATAACGATAGTACTTACCTAAATTTTGTTTTCTCTATTTCTTCTACTTCGTGACGTTCTATGACTTTCCTATGGTTTTGTGGGAAACAAATCGGTTCTTTCAACGATTGCTCAAGAAATACAGTACAATGTCAATTGTCCAGGCTTCTAAATTTTTTACATTGTAATGTACAAATGGTAATTAAAATAGTAAATAGGGTAAGCGGGGGGAATTGGGTGGGCGGGGTAATTGGGTGGTAAAATTTTTAACAATTTTTATATTTTTTAATTATTGATATTTTAACATTTAAATGACATGTATGGACAGCCAATCTCTTCAAGAATAAGCCATAACCTCTTCAGATTTGTACCTTTAAACATTTAAAGGAGGGAAATAGTCTTAGGGACCCTTGTCATTTCGCGATTCTAAAAGTGGTATGCAAACTTTTTCAATCTTTCATATAAATTGCATTAAAATTTTCATACATGTGAAATTACATTATTTTTCACCATAAAATGAATAAAAATATACCAAAGAACATGCCCAATACTTATTTTCATAATAAAACTACTTCTAATTTATTTTTTTTATTTTTTTAAATGTTACCACCCAATTACCCCCTTACGGGAAATCGGGTGGTAAATTTTAAAACTGAGCTAATACTGTTTCCTTGGCTTAATTTAATTAAAAAAGGCAATAATAATAATATTTTGTTAATATAATTCACACTAGAGTTTTTGTTTTGATATTTAACCACTACCACCCAATTACCCCTATACCAATACCATTAACCCTATACCACCCAACACCCGTGAGTTCACGGCACATTGGACTGAACCCAGAAGACCTAAAAAAGTCACAAAACTGTATTATAGTTACTTAAATAGGCCTAAAGACTGCATCAGCGACTGAGCTGATGTAGTAAACTAGTGCATTAGGCCTACAGTACATTAGTTTATACAGCCTCCCTTGTTTTATATCATGCGAAGGACTGGAAAATCGTGCCTCATTTTGTAAAGTTTCGAGACCATATTACATAATTTAAACCTTATTAGAGAAACATTTGTCCCTATTTTCCTGTTAATATTATTAATGTACTCTTTATATTATGAATTTAAAAACTGTAGGCCATAATATTTAATTGTGGTTAAAGATTTTTTTTTATGTGCGTAGTTTAGGAAAAATATGTTTGTCACCACAAAATTTATGGTAAATTTTGTTTGTTTTTTATTAAACCTAGTTAAAAATGTTGCTTTTAGTTTCCTTTATAACACCCAATTTCCCAACTTTAATTAGCATTTAGTGTTTATGGATTGTTGACCTACCACCCAATTACCCCCATGGGGGTAATTGGGTGGTAAAAAACATTTAATTTTTTTTAATTTTTTTGGGGAATTGCGGGAAAAAAATAAAACATGAAAAAGATAGCATTTTGTATTATAAAATTAATTAAGTAGGCATTTAACAACAAAAATAGGAAAAGTGGCCTAACCAGATACATTTGTAAAACATACCTCCCAATTCCCCCCGCTTACCCTATTTAAAGTCGGGACCACGAAAGTTTGCAGTTGAGGGAGGAGCCTATTTACCACGTGACTTCGAAGGAGCCAATGAGGACAGTGCGGTGTTGCCAAATCTAATAATACCAGCTGATTTGAAAATATTGTTTAGTATTTTAATTTGTGTCGTCAACGGGCGATATGGCAACATCGCACTAGCCTTGTCTTATAATTATGCAAACTTTCGTGGTCCCAACTGTAATTTCAACAAAATCAGTAAATGTACCCAATGCGTTTCATTGAATTGAAAAATAAATAACAGCAATTAAATTATTATACAGCCGGTCCAAATGTAAATAATTATATTCTCCATAAGGATAACATGGGAACTTTAAAAGCCACTAGGACAGAGCCTAAGGGACATTTTCAGAAATGTAAGGTCAGTTTGCAAATCTACGCGACACGTTCTTTCCAATGATACGTCAATGGATAAAATCGGTTAAGAAATGGTGGAGGAGTTCAACCGACAAACTTCGTGTTCATGTATTAATTATATAGATTGTAGAGTACGCTTGGTTTAGCTATTTAATTTATAATCTGTGTTTTGATTTTCTAGGAAAAAGTTGTGATTGAAGCAGTCGCTGTCGGAGCTGTACTTTCTGACTACCAAAGAATTAGAGTTGAAAATGTGTAAGTCCACATCAAATACTTGACACATTACAGATTTTACATTTTTCTAAGAGTGAGGAGGGAAAATGCGTTTACACACATAGCTGAAGCCTGTAGGATTCCTGCTTTGATCAAATGACTCGCTAACAAAACCCCACCATTCTATTGGACACTTGGACACAGACCTGGGGTCTTTGTCATATTCCTTCAACTCAGGTCAAAGTGTGAACTGAGGCCCCCAAAGTTTGTGCATGCAAATTAAACACATTTAATAGGCAAGAGTATGTGCACATTTAATTTATTATAGCTAGTAGTTACAAAATTGGTTGAATGTAATGGGCGTCCATCAGCCCCCCTCTACCGTCTCATACGTTATGTGTCATCTCGCACATTAGCCACATTTTTTTAGATCGTGCAGTAAAAACATAAATATAAAATAATTCACAATGGCTCGAGGAGTCGTACCAGACGCCCGTCAAGGAGTGAGCGAGGATGAATGAATTCAAAAGGTTTTGGAATATATTGCACAATCTTCAACATTTGAAGCGTTTATAGTTACTATTACACACAATTTTGTCAATCCAGTTCTCTTTCCATCTGCTCACGCAAGTAATTTAAATAGTGCGTTGAACATTTTCTGCTTATTGTGCATTCATGTTCTGAAGTATAGTTGTTTGTTAGTGAACATGACGAAATGTTTTTGAAAGATAGTTTTATTGAGCGTAATAGAAGTGGACTGTTTGTTGACTTTGTGCAAGGACTACTGTGGGATTGAACTGTGTTGTGTTGTGGTTAGTTGCAGCAGGCTAGGACTGGTAGCGTTGGCCTACCTGTGGCGGAGAGACCAAGCCCAGCTGTTACAAGAGATGGTGGACTGTAACATCAATGCAATCATCATCAAAGTGGCAGCATTGGGACTAGACCCTGGCAAACATCTCGGCCTTCGCATATCCGAGATACAACCACACCTGGTGAAAATGGTAAGTTTCATCGGTCTACTGTGACTACTACCTGCTGTAAACCTTTATAGTCCATTAAACTAATGTGGACCAAAAGGGTGCCAAGTATTTGGGGTAAAAGAGCCAACAATTTACAACTGAAACTTATAGTACAAGGGGTTTTTTTACTCACCTCAATTCACAAGTACCGTTATTAACAACAAGCTTAGGGACAAAACAAGCTCTTAAGTTGGTAGCCTTGCTTCATTGGTGATCAGCTGATGTGCATTGTCGTGGACAGGTTGAACACACTTACCTTACTAACAAAAATAGTTGAAAAGTTTGTAAGTAAACATATAAAAGAGTTTTTGACTGTATAAAAAAATCGTAAAATTAAAATAGCCTATGTAAAAAATACACAAAAGCCTAGTTAATTTTTTTTTCATTAATAATGAAATCTATATCAAATTTTTTCTACTGACTATAAAACCTTAAATGATATTAAATAACAAAATAATCATAAATATGCACTGGGATTCATTGAGTGTATCTTGAACTGTAGGCTACCTGTTGTGTGTTAAACTTGCCCATAAAGACATTCAATGATTGTTAGTCTTAATAATCACTAAGAATTAATAATTTTAAAATTAATTATATCAGAAAACAGCGCTGTGCACCTAATTGTGTAAATCCCAACACAATTATATTTTTAAAGTTATAATATTGGATAGATGTACTATCCTTTCATAGACTCTGAGACTCATATCCTTATCGTTTCCTTTTTTTACCATTTCCTGAACAATTTCCAAAAATATTTTTGAAGCTTCCTCTTTCTGCAGATTTCTTTTCCATCTTCCTTGTTTCAGAGTATTGCAGCTAATAACATTAGTATATTTTTTCTTACAATTTTGTATAGTCCCATTTAAACATTGTGGTTATGGAGTGCACTAGCAATAGGCTATTTTGTGTCTTGACAATTGCAATTCTTTACAGAATGAAAAATATGGCTTAAATATTTGTGGGGAAGGAGGCGAATACGAAACCTTTACCCTTGACTGCCCTTTGTTCTCAAAATCATTGGTGATGTAAGTATGGGTACCTAGCAGAGTGTAGGCATACAATGAGTAAATAAAAAAATCGTAAAATGGTAAGTTATATTTCAAACTTAATCCATGTGGCTGATTTTGAGTTTTTTTTTTTTTTTACTAAAACTGGGATGGACTGTGTTTTTAAGTTTCACCATTGCAAAGGATAGTTATTTTCATTCAAGTTATATCGTTAGTGCTTTAAACTAGGCAACGTTTCAGGAGGTAAGGGTTTTGTTTTGTGTTATTAATGCATAAAAAACTGATACATTTCGTAAAATAAATATTTAGGCAGCATAAAATTTGGAGAAAAATTTGTTTAAAACACTAGTGATAGTAAAAGGCCACCTTCGAATTAAAATAAAATCACAGAGTTCATCTAGCTCATTTGAGAAAATTTCATTCCAGGGTCAATAAAAAACGTCACTAAAAATAGCTCGGATGACATTTGGCCTTAAAGTCTCTGAAATTCTAACATATGGACGATATCATTGTTGTGGTTTCTGACCTTTTATTTTATATCCATCTTGGAAATTTAAAATTTTCTCAGTTGTAATGTCTCAACTAAGTCCTTAACTCGGATAAAAACATTTGATACACATGTTAAGATTCTATCTTTTTTTAGATTTTTCCTTTCAATTACTAATGTTTACCTTTGAGCTATGAAAATATGAATTAGTGTCTTATAAAATGTGTAGCTATTATCGTATTACTTCTTTCAGTTTTTCTAATGATTCAATAATGTACGTAACAAGTTCTCGGTTCAGTCATGATTATGAAGTGAATTAGAAACGTTCTTCACCAGCAGACTCCGTCTTTGGCTCAATTTGACCATGTTTTTATAGTTTTTGTTTAACTGGCTACAACTTAACGTAGGAAAGGAATGTCTACTATAGACGTATAATGTATCTTTAGTCAAAGGAAGTGTGTGTGTTGGAGTTCCGTCACTAATGGAATATTGCGTTTTGGCAGAGATGACTCCGAAACAGTTATTCACTCCAACGATGCGATCGCTCCGGTAGGATACATAAACTTTGTCAGGCTCCGTCTGGATGATAAACAGGTAACAAGTTTACTCAGTTTTGTTGTAGCGTCTAAAATTTGTTCTTAATGTTATTTGTGCTTTTATATTTTTACTAGTGTTGAGCATCACGTTGGAAAACATTAAACTCGACCTGTTAAAACCTGGTTAGTGATTTTATTTCAAAGGAAAGCTGGTTAGAATTTTTTTGAAAAGAAATAGAATCCAGCTTCCTTGCCATAGAAAATTGAGAGTCCAGGGGCAAATAAATTCCCAAAGAAAAACACAAAGGATAACTAATATAATATATATAAATACCTCGTCACAGCTCTGCAGTTGCTGTATATTACAGCTGTTTCGGCATCAAAATGCCATCATCAGATACACATATATCCACCAAAATTGGCGTCGTTAATCTGTACACACACGAACACGATAAAAACACGTAAAACAAGGGACAGGCCTGTCGCGTACATGATTGCTACGAGTACGGAAGCTGACTGGCTTAATAAAAGCTTAATAAAAGACAGTCAGCTTCCGTACTCGTAGCAATCATGTACGCGACAGGCCTGTCCCTTGTTTTACGTGTTTTTATGTTTTTATCGTGTTTGTGTGTGTACAGATTAACGACGCCAATTTAGGTGGATATATGTGTATCTGATGATGGCATTTTGATGCCGAAACAGCTGTAATATACTGCAACTGCAGAGCTGTGACGAGGTATTTATATATATTATATTAGTCATCTAGTCAGCTCAGGGGCTAAACCATTTCTATTGACAAAGGATAACACTGATATTTCGTACTAATATGGAACTTCTCGGAGAAACCAACCTCTCCTCTTTTTGAACATACTCCCTGCAGAAGTCCTCTATTAGGACAAAATATAATTATTATAGTTTGTGTTCTTTTATTGTGTATATGTCTATGTGTCTTGGGTTTAAATCCTGCTACCAAAGGATTTTATCCAAGTGATAATGCCGCGACCCACTAGGCCTTGGCTGAAGTAATGTGAACCCTTGATCTGTTCTGGAGGCTAGGATATGAAAGTGAGACATAAAAAACATTATTTATGATTGTAGGTGGATGAAGATTTGTCATTTCTGGAGCGACTTGCTGGTTTGCCAATCAAGAACTCGTTAGATTACATAACTGACATTGACGAAGAAGACATAGTTGACTGTGATAAAGACCATGAACCCAACGAAAACGAGACTAAAGACTGCTTTGACCAAGTAGGTGCCAACATGCTTTTATTAAGTATAAGAAATAAACGGTATTAACAAAGTGACACATACGTTCTTGTCGTTCACATTAGTTAGACATTAAAATTGTTTGTGGATGTGTTACAGAAATACGGATTACACCTCTGTTGTCAGATTTTGGTGAAATTTGGTATGTCCATTCATGGTATTCCCGGGGAGTGTTATTTTCATTGTTAAAATTTACTGGGAAAATCACAAAACTGGCAACAACTTTTGAACCGTTGTTTTTTTTTACAGCGTTAGCAGTTGTGTCAGGGAGTTGAGTGTATGTTTTAAAAGGTTTAAAGGTTTAAATGGTTTTAAAAAGTCTATAACATGTCTTATGTAATATGTTATATTTGTATGAATGTAAAACAGAGTGTAGTTCTTTGTTGATTCAATTGCAGATGTCCTTGGTTGAGCCGGAAAGGTTGCTGTTGATGCGAGAGCAGGAACCTGTGCCAGATAAACCGAGCATTGTTAGAAACTCGTCTGGTTGGTGTTGGATCGGTGGAGTGACGGGGACACACACGGACAGTGCCCAGGCTACCTTGGAGGCTCTTGGCAAACTGTGTGGTGAGTTTGGAGACACAGGGTGTCGATGAAATCAAAATTGTTTGAGGGTAGACTGTAGATTAAGGTCTCAGCCAGCTCTCATCCCCTAAGCAAACCAGTTCAAATCTAACACCAACCTTCATTCCTTACCGTACTTCATCAACTAATTTTCTAACTAGTTTCACACCTATAAGGAAATTAGTCTCATAATAGTATTCAAAATCATTATGAAGGAATTGTGGTCTTATTCCATCAAACACTGCTGAAGTCCATTGCCAGTTGATGGAATGAATGGAATAAAGCGTTTAGACATAGAAAATGTACTCAAGGGGGAAAATAGTTTGGAGAGGGTCTTGTGCTGTACCAAGTAATAAATAAATAAACAAGTTTTTTAATGGGAAAAAAGCAACTTGGCCTTGGAATAGTTATATATAGTTATATATAGTTGGCTTAGGAGAAAGGAAGGATACACAACTAACTCACCTGAATAAAGAGTCCCAGGAGGTCAATAGAACACATAGAAAGTACACATTAAACTGATATTTCGCCCCTTTCAGAGATAGATGGTAGAATGGCAGTTACAGTTTCTGAAGAACTGATACTGCCATTCTACCTTCTACCTCTGAAGAAGCCCCTGAAAGTGGTGAAATATCAGTTTAATGTGCACTTTCTGTGTGTTCTATTGACCTCCTGGGACTCTTTATTCAAATTAATAAATAAGCGTTTGCACAATGTTTTCCATGGTGTTTGCTAACTACTGTCCTTCATCAGTTTTGTTTGAATCAGCTACAAAGGGGAATTAGGTTTGCGGATCGTATTGTGATGTGGTGTGGTACAATTTACATTTCTAAATAATTTTATTAATTATTTGTAATGTAATGACTGTACAGTGTACATTTTACAGCTTTGTTGGAGACAGAGGGCATGTCGCCGGTGGACCTGGTCCGTGTGTGTATGTTCGTCAGCAGCATGGCCGACTACGCAGCAGTCAATGCAGCGTACGTGGGTGTACTGAGTCATGTCAACCCACCCGTACGGGTGTGTGTTGAGGCCCCGTTGCCCCCGGAGTGCCCGATAGTACTGGAGGCGACGGCTCATCGTAGAGCGGAGGTCGCCCGACACACCATGCATGTGCAGACTATTAGTCACTGGGCCCCGGCAAATATTGGACCTTACAGTCAGGCGGTCAGGGTGAGTTTGTGATATTATGAGGGTTTTCTGTAAGTTAAAGTCAAGCTAGTTCAAATCTAAGATCAACTTCATGTTTCACGTTATTCTCTACTAGAGGTTATCACCTCTATGGGACAAACATTCATGTACCAAAGTCAAATTGTGTACATGAATGTGTACCTAGTCAAACTGATGGATTGAGAGCTATTGCAACAGTCATGGCCCATCAACTAAGGGAAAACAAAAATAAGGTTGAAAACAGAAGTTCTAAATCTATAGAAGATCTCAATCAACTTAGGTTCTTCACTTTCTAAATAACCCTCGTATAAAGTTTATATCTACAGAAAGTAAAAGAAAAATCTGTTTAAGTTGTGAGTATTGTAATAAATATTTACTTAACAGTTTTTCTGATATTACAGATAGGAGATGTAATCTATGTCGCCGGTCAGATTGCCTTGGTGCCTGGTTCTATGCAGTTGGTCCAAGGAGGTAAGCTATCAGTGTTTTATTTTGAAATATGTTTGAGGTTGTGAAGGAATATAGGCCTGTAATTATCTTTGTGATTTTTGAATTGTTTATTAACTACTGCCATTAACTTGAAAATGGGAAGAGGTTCCTAACCTACCAAAATGTAGTGTTCAAATCCTAAGCAATAGGAAAATTTCATCCAATCATTTTACCCTAAAATTTAAAAGCTAACATTTTACAGGATGACAATATTTGAAGTCAAAGGATATCCAGGGATGTGGCTACTATATTATTAGTATTAGTCCTTGTTTTCCAGGTATCCGTCGACACAGCCGACTCGTGTTGCGACATGTTGATAGAGTGATAAGAGCGATGGACCCTAACACCCAGATCAGGGATGTTGTTCAGGTATGGAACTATGTGAATCTGTGTCACTATTATTGTATCCATATTTTAACATTCCATTTACAATCAGTCAATGATTCTAATTTTATTTGTGTTTTGTTTACTTTCATTCTTCTTGTTACAGATAAAGTTTCAATTTATTTAACTGGTGTTTTTCAAAACGTGTTCAAAATTATTTGATGACATTATAGTTGGCCACGAGGATCCACCAAAAGGGTAACTTATCAATGATCAATATTATCCACAGTTATTTCTTCTACTTAATCTGGGTACCCCAAATATTTCAATTCTGTGTGTTATATTTTCACCCTATAATGGATAAAGACCAATTTGAACAACTTTTAACTTACTAGTCCTTCAAAGTTCTTAACGATTTATTCTAAAAAATTCTTGATAGAGTACAAGTACTCGGAAAGTACTTAGAACTTATTACCTTTTTCTAACATTACACATTTTGAAGACCATGACAAAGGAAAAGTTAAAACTTTGTCTTGAGCAAATTAGGACCTGTTGAGAGACAATTTCCATCTTGAATTTATTTCCTTGTGTACAGGGTGTTTGCTATGTGACCAATGCAGCCTACATAGCCGAGGCGAGACGAGAGTGGGAGCGAAGGACTAACAACGCCATCACAGATTACGTTGTGGTACCTGCACTGCCTCGGGGAGCTCTGTTGGAGTGGCAGGTAGGTTAGGTTACAGATGTCACATAAAGTAGACCTTCATCAACCTAAAGTCTTACCGACAAACCCAAATTTCTTAGGAAAATAAATAAAATCACCAAAATGTGTCTGATACCATTTTTTATAGAAAGAGATTAGTAAAGTGACCGCATGATGAAGGGTGGCCGAGGGTTTGAGATTAAGGCACTTGACTGCTACACAATGCAGATTACAAACGTACTACCCTTCTGAACTTTACAACATCTGACTGTTAGACGGCAAGAGACACCTACTTTTGTGTCACTGATGAAGTGATTGCAACATATTGCTCCTAGAAAACATATTTGAAGATGAATAATTGAGCTACATGTACAAATATATTTGTACATGTTATGCCTTATTTGTAATTAAAAGATTTATATAACCTTTACATTATTTTGCTTTACTTGTAATTATCATCTTTTAGCCACAATTCAAAGTTTTAATGGTCTCTTAGTTCATGGATTTAGTCCAGAAAACAGCTATTTGCCGCCCACTTAATCAAATATGATTTCATTACGTACTACTCTACGGTAATGAATTTTGCCGGACACCAGCTGGTAATAATTTTTTTAGTTGAAAACTTCTTATTTTGTAAATAGATACAATTTATCAACAAAACAAAATTTGTACTAAATCTAAAAATTTCAAAGATGAAACCACAAAAGTGTGATAATAATAGTCTAATATACTTATAGCGGTGAGTAGTTGAAAGCAAAAACCTCTTTCATAAGTTATGAGTAGTCATTGTTTGTTCATCAAGTCTGTGGCAACATAATAAAATAGCGGATTTTGACTCATCAGGTAAACACATATTTTATTGACTATTAACATAATTTTCATAGTGAATGAACAGCCTTCATTTTTAAAAAAAGTTTGGTTATCCGAAACAACCTCCCCCCCATTATTTATATTAAGGATTAAGAGAGCCTCTTAATATATTCAAGTTTCTTTGCCAGGTGTGGGCTCACAGAAGCAATGCAAGGTTCGAGTACGAGGAGACTGGTTGTGTGATTGGTGACTGCCGTGTGTCTCTCAGGCGAAGGTGGAACTACGACAACACTGTAGCCGCTGTCGTCTGTAACGTATCTTCAGGTACAGTAGACCCCCTCTTAACCGACCCTAATGGGACCGGACCTAGGTCGGATAACTCAAAAGGTCGGATAAAACGGGCAATCCCTAAAATCATAACATAATGAAGTGCTATTCATTTGGAATTATATAATCATCATTTTGAAGTCATACTTGCATTATTTATGAAATAAACTACTCTTATCTCCTTTTTCATATTGATAGAAAAGTCACAAATAAACACAAAACACAGTTAAGTCAAATAGGCCTACTTTCAGCGGAATATATTATTATAATACTAGGCAAGAGTCAATAAAATTCCTATTTTAATAACTTTAATACTGTAATGTATTAATTGATGCTTTCCAAATACATCGTAATACAGTACAGAACCTTTTGTCGACATTGAAGATACAAGCAACCATTTTGTTACAAAACAGGACGTTTATTTATAGCCTCTCACTGGAGGCTCCAGGCACAAAAACTATCTTGACCTTGGAGTTGTTAACCCCCTTTCCCTGCCTTCCTTACAAGTTGCGTTGTTTGTTTACTCCGGCAATAAGATAATCAGTTTCGTAACGCACTTTATGATGTTATAAATTTGCCGCACAGATAACAAATCAGATCAGATGTGCTCGAGCTACGAACGATGATGACAAACTGACAATAGGCTATGCTATATTTTTTGTGCTCAACACAAAATAGCTTATTATTAGTCATATCCTGTGGAGATAGGCGTATGGTTCAGTTCTCATCGCCCAGCGTGGGAGCGGAAATGCCGAGATTCCTAGAAAGCGGCGGTTAAACCGAGCTGCTCTCAAATCAAGGTCGGTTAAAACAAACTGTATTATTTTACGATCGAAGGCGTATAATCCGATTATCGGTTAATACGAGGTCGGTTAAGAGGGGGTTTACTGTAACAACATTGTCGTACACATATTAATCTGCATGAAAGCCAATTCTGGCAGTTTTTGTGTGGAAAACACCTTGTAAACAAAAGACATCTAGTCACATATTTTTCATCCAGTTATGTATTTATGTATTTTAAATAAAACAATTTTACAATAGAACAGCAACTTTGTTGTTCTGAATAAAGTTGAAACTCTAAAGATGTATTTTCTCCGCAGGCAGTTCAGCCTCCAACCCAACGTTAGGGAACTCTCCGACCGCGCGGGAGGAGCCACTGTCAGAATCAGACCTGCGCGAAGTGCTGGGCTATTGTCTGCTGCGTCTACACCGAGGTGAGCCACCGCCTGTGTCTCGCGTGTGTGCGCTGCGCGTTTTACACCGCGTGGGTCACGGGCCGTCCTGTCACACCATACACAACGCTATAACGCAGCTAGCAGACGTCACTGTCGCCCCTACGATACTACCCGTTTGTCAACTCAACCATCCTAACACCTTTCTGAGTCTTTGGGCGCTACGACACCAGTAGAGGCTCGTCAGAAGATATATTTTAAGGCTAAAGAGGGTAATGTTATTTTAACTGAGCTTTAAGGTAATTACTGGACCATGGAATTATTTTTACAGCTGTTATAATTGTATTTTTGTGAACTTATTGCTTTATCGAAAATGATTTTGAAAAAGGATCCATTTTTTTCTGCATATAGGAGAACTCTAACTAAGCGTAGAAATGTCGGCTGGAATATGGCTTTAAAATAGTGTAATGTTATTTTAATTGTATGTGCTAAGGTAAAAATTACTGGACCATGGAAGTTTGTTTACAACTGTTAGGATTGTATTTTTGTGATATTACATCATTTTGCTTTCATTTTAAATATTCCCGTATTACTGAGATGTACTACGAGTGGTTAGAATACCTGTTTTTATAATCCTATTGGTTGTGGTTCACATGAAACCATCATCAGGCATCACAAGGACAACAACATCGCATCTGAAGGTCGTCATATTTCACACACACTCCACAGGACTAGAGTTTACCCTCCAGTAACTATCGCTGCAACTAAAACAGCTGCCTAATGATGCGTTCCAAAGCGAACTGAAACTAGTTGCCATCGCAACCAATAGAATAACGAACAACTAAATAATACAGGTATTTAAACCACTTACTGTATCGTTTTTATCTATCAAAGTGATTATGGAAATAGTTTTTAACCTAATTTCTTCTAATTTTTTAACCTCAAATATATTTATTCATAACATTACATCGGCGTGGTCTAGCCAAGTTTACAAAACCTGTTGCCGAGTTCCAAATAATTCAAAAGGTTAGAAACAAATTTATTTGTGTTTTTGTTTTGTTTTTGTAAGCACAAAAAATATATAAATTACAAGATTGGTGGTGTGGCAGGCACTTATCTTGAAGAAGTGTAAATAATTATTGAAGAGCTAAATTTCCAAAAGTTATTTGAAACATGTACAATCTAACAACTATGAATACATTTTTTAACTTCCATGGTAGAGCTACTGCATTTTCATGAGTACAGCGAGTTGCCATAATCATGTTTAAGATTTTCCAGGAGAAATTTGCTTACTAAGGGATTTTGTTTTATACAATTCAAACTTTAAAGTTGAACAATGGGTACCGTGCATATTTTTCCCATATTTAGATATAATATAATATGTTGTTATTTTTGTTATGTAGATTAGACTATATTTTTAATTAGTTAGACTAGTATCTACCACAATGGTGTTGAATTTAATTTATATATAAATCAGTTTTTATTTTGTTTATGTAAATTAATCAACCAAAAGGAATGTATAGGGATTAGTGTAAAATTTAGACGTTTTCAATTACTTTAGTGGAAGGAAACATTTAGTGTTATTTGTACTGCATTTAGATTACTATACTTACATTTTTATACTTGACTAATTCACTGTTTCGATATTTTTTCAAATTTTTATATTGGTTTTGTGAAATTTTGATGGTTTCAAAATCATGTGAATTCAAAAAAGGAGCTTTCCTTTCCACCATATTTAACAGTAAAGCAAAAGATTTTTTTAAATGAAACACACTGCTGAGTTACTCAATTTCCAAAATGAAATGTATATTTTTTCCAGATTTGTTATTCTGTGTTGCTTAAAAAGCTTATACCTACCTAAATAATAATATCAAATAGTTCAAATCAGAGTTAATACTTTTTTAAACTTTAGTCGTTCTTTTCTATTCTAAATTCCTTAGTAATGTATAACAGCTTGTACTTGATCTAAACTTTGTTTATGGATTAATCAATATAATTAAATTATAAATAAATAGTTGAGATTGTTCTTTCAAAACAGTTCTAGGCCTATTTTGTTAATCCTTGCAGTTTAAGAAAGTTGTTAACATTTTTAATAATATTCCAAAAACTATTACTGTACAAGTGATCAAAAATGTTTATTGAAAAGGATATTACTTCAGCCATTAACTCGTACACTGACAGTAAACTTCTCATCATATTATAACATTTGAAGTGTGTTTTTTTGTCCAGTTATGTGGAATGTGTTGTTGACTAAATGTTTTATTTTTATTTTACAGTGTTCCTTTTACTATCTGGTAGAGCAGAATCAGTAGTTAGCAAAACAGGTTGTACAGTAGAACCCCGCTAATCTGTCTACAGGACCATGTAGCTGGGTACATAGTGCCCAGTGGTTATAGTGCTCGCATAGTAATCAAAACTTCGCTGGTTCGATCCTGAGAAAAGTGTGTAGCTTTTTGATGGTTCGAAACTGGACCCAACTGTTCCTGATCATTATGCTTTTAATAAATGTCCCTAACTAATAAAACAGCTGATCTTAGTCAGTAACAAAGCTACGCAAGGCATCACATTTCTAATTATAATCTCATAGAAAATTCTACACTCATCCTTCACTCATATTTGGGTGAAAATACGCGCATAGGGGGCGGGCGTCCCCATCTCAAATGAATATGAATACGACCAGCACCAGGGTGGGAACAATGAAAAGGTCGAATTATCCAAGGAGCATATTAAATTACTGATATTTTTTGATCAGGCTCGATCATAAAGTTCCCAATCGATCATAATTTTCCCATCACCGCGCGAGGCGTTAAGTATTTTACCACTATAGGGAGACGACCATGGTGTTTTTATTTTCCGCAGGACATATTCATGAGTTGCCAATTCAACGATAAAATTTCCATGGTTGATCAAGACGATGAAAAGTTTTTTTCTCTGACTGTGAAATTTGTCTAGGATCTTTCAATAATTGCGGGAGACGATGATAATGTTTCCTTGACTGCGGGGGATGAAGAAAAATTTGTTTGCTGCGATTGCAAGAGTCAGTGATAATCCAACCATGGCAAATAGTTACAATATTACACGATAACATTGTCACCGATGGCGATAGGGCACCTAAGTGACACGGTCAGATTAAGCTAGGAGTCAGGCTAGCAGAGATCGGATTAGCAAGGTTCTACTGTATGATTTTGTTGTATGAATTTTAAATTTCAAAATAGGATATAAATAGAGGGCATTAACAAACTAACAGTTTACATGACAAAACATGTGTGTTACAATTTCCTTCAACAACATAGTAGCCTATAACGGTTTGACTTCTATGTTTCTCATGTTATTTTTTTTGTTTTTTCTTCACTGACCACTTTTTTAACCACTGCAGCTGGTTGAAAAAGTGGTCAATTTCTACTTTTGTGATGTATTTTATGTGTCTCTATGGACTTATTTAAAGGTAAGCCTTCTTTCCTGTCAATTTGCTTAATAATTCCTGGCAAATGCCCTATCTTTTTATCAGATAATCTTATCTATATACTGTACAGTAAATATTAACTTCGTTGAGTGCGGCAGCCATTCAAACAGGCGCTCGCCAATTGCGGCAAGGCGCGGGCGAAGCCCCGGCGCGGCATCGTAACAGTGAACGCAATTGGCATTCAAATATTTCAATCTGACGAATAACAAAAGAGCAGCAGTGATTGTACTACGTTACCCCCGAGACCGGACTTAGTTCCCTTAAACACCCAAAGTTAGCAGTACTGCCGGGATCAGTAGTTAGTGGCTTTTTAATGTGGCTTGAAGAGAGAAAATCCCCGAAACCGGGACAAAAGCATTGTCGGACAGGATTTTACGGGAAATTTTAGTACCAACCTACACCAAAATAAAGCTCACATTCTACGCTACAGGCTAGCAACGATTATAACGTTCTCCGGCAATGGCTGAGCTCATACTGAACTAATGTAATGGGGGTTGCGCAACTACTGTACATCAATTGATGTAGGCCGATAAGAATGCTCGTGGCGCGACTACATCAATTGATGTCGTCAGCACTCAATGTGTTGACAGCTGTTTTACAACAATGGAAGCACTAGGCTATTTCTCTATCAATCATTGGCCATAGGGTTATTACTTTACTTTGTCGTTAAGTATAACGTCACTAAATTTTAACTTTATGTGACTTAAGTGTAGGTTTCTGGGATTGTTGATTTTTTTTCATCTACTCATGGAATTGTCTTATTTTTATTTTATGTGTCTCCTACCAAGTTGAATTAAAAACTTAAGGGACTTACTAACCATTGTTTTATTAGGTTACTGACAATCTTTTTTGCTGAAAGTACTGGGGTTAAGCAAGTATTTAAATTTTGTTAAAAGAATCACTACAAATTATATAAATAAATAAATTATATTAATACATGAACTGACTAGAGGCTTTTAGCCTGTGAAAACAAAGAAGATAGGAAAGTACCAAGGATGAAGATTGTTTTAAATTTTCCATGTCTACTACATTGTGTAATTAATTATAGTTAAACCAATTAAATTAGATGATCAATTATACGAGAATGTAGTTTTCATTAAATATGCTTATACCAAACAGCTTAGAAAAAAATCTCAATAAATATTCAGTATGCTCATCAAATTCTCGTGACAATGTTTATGTACCAAAATCTTAAAATATAATTTGATTTATCTTACGCTCTCAATCCCATTCTTAGACTATAAATACAATTCAATCAAATAGGTTTCTTTATTCTACTATTGCACAACTTATTTTCCCTGACCTGTCTTGCACAGTTGATGGTTTACAATGTATTTATTTTATATTAGCTCAGTGTTTTTTTTTTTTTTTTTAATTAAAGCATTTGCCAACCCCAGCAAAATTTTACCAAATTGTGTTCAAGTCTTACTGGTGGCATGTTTAGGTTATCTGGTGTTTTTGCCATGTAGCTGGTGTTCCTTGTTTTTAATTAATCTTTAGCTGGGCTCTTTGTGAGTATATATTTTTAATCTACTGTAATATAGATTTTCAGTTTGACCTCAAATATGTTGTTGTTACAAATTGTATCTTAATCAACTATGGTTTATGTTATTTTGGTTTTTTATTCTATTTTGTATTTTGTTCAAAGACGTTACTTGTTTTTATTTTTTCCCAATTCAACTTACAGAAAAAGAAATATATTTGAATTATTTTGTTATGTCTGTTTCCTTCTTGTACATCCTTTTGTTGGTATTGAAAATTGTCCAACAGCTAAATTAATTAGGATTATATTACTGAAAACAATCGTGGTAACCATTTGAAATAAACAATAGTAAACTCCTTTTGAAATAAATGAATTTGTAATAACCATCTACAGCTAACATTTTAGAATATAATTTTGTATTAATAAAACTTTTTTTTTCATTTGCATTAATTTTCTAAATAGTCATGTGTGTCACAGTTTTTATTTACCATTCAAATTCTAAAACCAAATTTTAAGTTATGCTAAGGAAAGAATTAAATAATCAAAACCTTTTTTTATTTTGTGCGCAATATAATTTTTTATAGCAGTTATGTTTTTAGTTTTGGTTCAAATTTGAAATAGTCATGTCCATTGCAGTGATTCACCGTTCGAATTCTAAAACCATTTCGTAGTGAGCCGTACGAGGGAATAGATCAAATAAACGAATCCTTTTTATTTTGAAAGGATCCGCAACCTGCGTTCCTCTTCTGCACAGCTGAACAAAGTTGTTGAACGTGTGTGGATTGTCCGGCTTACACGAGACATAAGTCAGTTTCTTGATCCTTTTATCCCTTCGAATCATTTGTGCCACCTTTTTAGCTGAAACATGAAAAATTTGTGTTTGTACTTATTTACAGGTTACTCATAAAATGCAGTGTACTGTAGCTTCTTTCATCCGGTTGCCAGATATAGTTTAGGCTAAAAAAACTTACTTTTGCACTATCTTAAAATCCATATGTTTGAGCCGTCATTTTAAAGCTTATGACCTAGCACTGGGACGAATGTTATATTAAAAGGTAATTGCCTTTAGGGCCTTGGCCCCTTATATTAGCCTTTGATTTATTTCTAGAAGTCACTTTAAAGGTCCAGACTACTTTCATTGATTATTGTAACTCTTATTGAGATAATTAAATCACTCTTTATGGTATAAATTTACAATCAACATATTTTGAATATTGTAAATTAGTCGCTTTTTTCATTTAATAACTATCTTAAACAAACATGATATTTTTCTATGATGATGCATTTTTGAATGTTATTTTTTCATTTACCAAGTAAGCCAATCTTTGAAAAGTAAAAGGTTCTTGCATTGAAAACAAGTCTTGCAATTTGCTTACAGACCCACTTGTTTAAGATAAAACAGCAAGAGCTGGATAAGTTATGGTTAAACTTACTAGTTCCTGCTCTTCCTGGGTTGGTCACCATGCCCAAGTTTTCAATCGAAGCCAGCTGGTTTGTAAGGAGGTCGTGCAGTCGCTAAACATTTGACCAACATTAGAAAATTACTATACCTAATTTTTATTTGTGACACATGTAAGTTCTGTATAAATATTGCATATGGGACAAACGTTTTAAAACTCATTAAATGTTGAGCTTTAAATTTTTACTGGATTTTACCCCAAAACTGTTTAACATTACTTCAAGCTTGGCCTAAAGGTCTCAAAATTATCAAATTTATTGGTTTTTGACAGGATGTGAACCTAGAACCTCAGGGACCAAATTCTCACGGTCCACCAATAGACCAGCTTATTCCGTTAAAGATGCTGATACAATAGTTGGGAGTTCAATCTGACATAAATTATTATTTAATTAGCCTCCTAAGTTTACATTCTGAAGACTTCATACATTTTTAAACACACTTTTTTTTTAATTCATACATAGCAAGTACAAGTTAATGAGCTTCTACATTATGAGCTGGTTTAGATAGTTATCTAATTAATGTAACTAAATTAAAAGATCAACCTTTTCAACCCGTCCAGCAATAAATTCACAGTTGGTGATGTTGTTGATTTCAGCATTCTTTTTGGCATCGATCACAGCTTGCTCTAAGTACTCTACTCCGATGCTGTTATTCACTCGATGACTGCCTAATATGCTGTATAAACCTGCCAATGAACAAAGAATTGCAACAAGTTTTTTAAACCAATAACTCAACAGTCTTAGTTTACAGAAAAGGATCTGTCAATTCAGTTAAAAAAATGTAAGATGTATAATTACAACTTAGATAAATAGAAAATGGGAATCTTTTTTGCCATTGCAATATTCAAGAATCCAACTATTAAAGGTCTAAGTCTAAGGCATATGCATAATATAGATACGCTTACAAACTAAATTACAATTTTTCTTTTCCTTAAAAAACTTGAGGAGGAGTAATACCTCTGCTGTAGCAATTCTGCAGACTAAGTGAATTTTAATTTACCTGATTAGATTTTCACTGAAATATTTCCGTAATACTGTAACGTCAAAAAAGATTTATTTCTTATTAAAATAGTATTAGGTTTAACTATTACAAAAGCTTGCTACTACAAGGAGGGTAATATTTTTTTTAGGGAATGTTAATATTTAATAATAATAGCTTAGTATGATATGAAATCAAACTTAAAACCAACTTTGGGTCGTTTTGTGATAATGAAAGGTAAATTAATGCTAGAGAACTTTACAAAAAAGTGTAAGATAGGTCTAAAGATTCACATACCTACCAACTCCACTGAACAAGTCAAGAAAAGTCGTCTCGTTTGTCACTTCCATATCGTCCAAGATTGAGAGCACCATATTTTCAGCTGCTTTTTTATTAATTTGGAAAAAAGAGTGCGGAGATATTCTAAACTTAAAACCTCCCATGATTTCTTCCAGAAAGGATTTTTTGCCAGCGAGTTGGACGTATGAGTTAACGTCGTTTGAACAATCCACTCGTTCGCTGAAAAATAATTTTAGGATATTATTATTATTTATAAAATATAAATGTTGTAACAGTTAAGTTACAGTGTGTATCATATAGATACAGTAGAACCTCTATTAATCGAATCCCTTCTATCCAAAATACCGAGTAACTGGAACCGAACTGTGTGATGTTAAACGAGACTGAACTGAAACTCCTTACAAACTCTTAGCTTTTCCTTGGAAATTTAAACAGAAACTTTCTTTAATTCTTTACTATATTTGTAGAAGCTGTTTATGTTACAAACTATCAAGGCTCAACGGTTGGCTAACTGACTAGGCAGCTATGTGATGTATTCCCTTCTTATGCCTAAAAAGTAAGTAAAAGTAAAAGTCTAAAAAAAATTGTCTAGAAATACCATGGATTAGTACCCACATACAAAATGTCACCAAAATCAGACCACAGGTGTAGTCTTTAGCTCTATACGCATCCACAAGCAATTTTAATTTCTATCTAATTGGAGAAAGTATGTGTTAAATCAAATCAAAATATACTTTATTTATTCATTCATGTCAGTTTGCTGATGCGGTTTATTCTCTTCCTTATAACGGATTATTATTAATTATGTAATCTAACAACAAGTTAACCTTAATAAGACTAGATTTTGGATGATTACCTTAAAGAAAGTTTGAAAATCATAGAAGCAAAAACTCACCACTCCTGATGGTACAGTATGAGATTAGGTTCGTGAGACAGGAAGTAGTTAGTTAGGTTAGTTCTCTCTGCCATGAGTTCTTCTTGTGTCATAGAGTAAGGGTGAGTGACAACAATCACCATGAGTTCACCGGCTTCGTTGGATCGCACGGTGAAACGTTTCCAAAACCCTCCGTCTCGGAAGAAGTAACAAACCTTGTGCGGTGAATTGTGTATGTACTGCTCAAACAACTAGAAATAAATACATAGGATAAATAATACAATAACAATAATTACAAATCTTTTCATCTTCTTGGTGGTTTTACAAGAATAACAACAATGATTTGTTTATTTAATTATTGTACCTACAAGCTAATTATTTCCTTAAGGCCATACAAATAGAGTTTGGAAAGAGCAAAGTAAACAACAAAGCAATTAACAAATTTTGGCTTCAGCTTGTCCTTGTAAATGATATATATTTCAGTAGTATTCAAAAGTAAAAAAGTATGGAAGCGAGCTGGTTGATGGTTAGAGGGTGGGACACCAGTCCCTGAGGTCTCGAGTTCAAATCCCGCCAAATCACCAATGGATTTTATCTAAGTGATGGTGCAGCAACCCTTAGGTCTAGCGTGAAGTAATGTGAAAAACAATCCCGGGCTTGTGTCTAGCGTCCTAGGAAAAAAAACTATAAAACAGTCAATGATATAAGTAAGATATATCATGAGAGCACTCCAGTGGCAGGTCCTAAGGTGGGGCAATTGCCCCCCCCCTCCTGAGAATCTGATTACAAAAATATTAGTGATGTGTTTAAAGAAAACTATAGATTTGAATTGCAAAAAATGATCATGTTTTGATCTCAATATTGTCAAAAACATAATTTTTAGGTTAAAATTTTCCAATATTTCCAGGGTTGGGCCCCCAGATTCTATACCCTCAGTGCCCCCCCCCCCTCGAAGGTTACCAACTCGCAACCACCCCCCCCCCCCAAAAAAAATCAAACCCTAGATCCGCCACTGGAGCACTCTACAAGCCCTCTTTGAATTTGCTATAGACCTCATGAAGCTCAAATAACAAGAAGGAATTTCAAATAAAATATTATTTACTCTTATTACCATTTGAGATGGGGACACCAGCGATGTGCATATTTTTACCTGACATGAATGAAGGATGAGTGTAGAATGGAGAGTGATGCCTTTTGTGTTGCTTTTTTACTACTTACCAAAGCCAAACGCTTGTGTGAATCTTTGACGTGGGGAAGATGCGTTGGTCTGACTGCTTTGCAGCCCGACTTTGACGGAGTTCCGGTCAAGTAACCGACTGTAGGCTTGTTTTTATCCACTCCATAATAAACTGTGAAATCATCTTTGTTCCTGTAGCCCATCTTAACAGGCTGCAACAGTTCATTTCTACATAGGACAAGTAGCCTTGTGATATTCTCACAGTTTGTAGCTGACATTGTATTCCCATGTTAAGAGTTGTTGCCATTTTTGTTTTAGGATGAAAATGAACCTAATCAACTTATCGGCAGAGTCTATTGTTGTCAATTAATGATTTCTACCATATACAGACATTTTATTTTAATCAAGACAAACTAAAAGGACAAACAATCTCCAGAATTTAACAGGAATATCTACAATAATTTTAGGAGTTAGGATTGTTAAAAGCATTTGAGTAGCCTCCATAAAAAAGCTACTGGCCGACACTAACAAAAAAACGGAGAGACTAACCACTACAGTTTTCAAAATTCATTATGGCGTTGGTTCTGAAATACTATTATTATTAGTTGGACTTTTCTAACATTTCTTGTTTTTAAAACTACACAACATTTCTGGAGGTGGATAAAATTCTCCCATTTTCAACTCATTTTGTTTTAAAATTGTGTTTTATTATATTTACTTGATTTCTTTAATGTTGTACAATGCATAATATTTTTTTTTTTTGTCCTAGGACGCTAGGCACGAGCCTGGGACTGTTTTTCACATTACTTCAGGCTAGACCTAGGGGTTGCGGCATTTCACTTAGATAAAATCCATTGGTGACTTGGCGGGGATCGAACCCGGGACCTCAGGGACTGAAGTCCCGCCGCGCTCTAACCACTACACTAACTGCATTATATGTAGTAATTAGTTGTTTTCAATAACCAGTTTTTTGACTGGCCACCATTTGAGGGCTGGTTAGGATAAGTGTGGTAATTAGTAATTTAACTTGAAAACGGGAGGAGTTGATCCACCTCTAGAAAAGTTGTGTCGTTTTAAACACAAGAAACATTAGGAAAAGTCCAAATAAGTAGTAACACTAACCACTAGGCCAAAACCAGCAAAAACACACCCTAATAAAACATAATTTGACTCATTGCTGTTAATGTTTGTTGAATGAAAGGGAATTGGTATCCTAGTTTAATATTTATTTCAAAGTTTAGTTTTCTTACCGAAGGAACGATTTTTTCCACAGGAAAATCGGTTATTTCAGTTTGTATTAGCTGCAACCGTTTAATGAGAGCATCGACCACTCTAAGAGCATTGTTTTGCTTCACCTCCAATTCTACTGGGTACGAAACTCTGTGGAACGGACAGATTTTCTTCAAAAGAACATTGTGTTGGTTTTCTTCTGTCACTCTTGGGTTCAGAGGTTTAAACACCCTCTTGGAAACCTGTTACAGTATGAAGACATACTAGTGAATTATTTTATTCTAACTAAATACAGATTTTGGAACACTCATTACTCTTAGTCAAAATGATTAAACTTTGTTTCATTTTATGTCACAAAAGTAAAGTTTTAACACACAGGTTTAGCCTTCAAAAGCTGTTGTGATTGATTTCTCAATGACTAATATTAACAGTTAACACCCAACAATGCAAAAAACTAACTTCTGAATTTTAAAAAGTTCAAAATAAATTAAATGCTAAAGATTGTATTTATAAAATATTAAATAACGTTCTTGAAATACATTATTAGCAGCACCTACCGATTTTAGACCACACATTTGGAAATCAAAACTCTGAACTGGTATATTCGACTCATTCTATGATAACCCAATGGTCATAACTACTCCATTATAATGATAATGTCCAAGAGAATAAATCTTATAAACAATCTATATCAAATAGAATACACCTTCCTACTCAATAGTCAATAGCGTACACAATTTTTATTTTTAAGCATGACAATTCACTTACGTTGGAATATAGTAATTCAGTTTCAGGAAAATACTGGTTTCCTGTGGATGAAATGAAATGTTTTGACAACAAATAGAAAGAAAAAATAAACAAATTACATGTTACAAAACATAGTTTTGACATAACACTATGTTCACTCATTATCAGTATCAACAAATCACAAATTATAATGAACTGATATGGAATCATAACTTGTTGGAAACATTGTTGAGGTTTTTTGATTAAAAGCAAGGTCTCTGAATAGGTTCTACTATCAATCGTAGTAATTAAATTTGTAAATATGTTTATTTAACGGTTTTGTACAATTAATTTGATGAATTAACTTAATATTCACAACCAAATCAACACTTTATACTGTAAACGTCTCAAATGTACTGCTAATGTTTCAAAAAGTTAAATTTTGGTGGTAAAATAGTAGGATATAGAAATAAGTATGTCGAACCAACTTAAATTTGCAAACAAAATTGTGTGATTTATTTTGGATTTTAATTTACAACTAAAAGGGCTACTTTGATATTTTCAATTACACTGTCACAAATTTCATATTGGATAGATTTCAAAATATGGTGTCAATTAGTATTCTAACAATTTTCATACTGCACCATAATATGAGAAGTAAAATATTTTCCAAAGTAAAAAACTGGCTGTTCTGAATACCCACTGGTAACACTAATTAGGAAAAATCAACAAAGATTTTGTCAAGAAGTGTTTTTTACAACCTTAATATTTGAACCATAAGCAAATTTGTTGTGAATTCGGCATGAGTTGATTACAATCCAACAAGTGCACTAACAAAATATTTATAATTTGTGCCAGTTTGGATTTTTTCCAATTCAGGTCTGCCCTGCAAGACACTGATTGAGCATCCATGCTGATCCATGCTTGCTAGATCCAGTATAATCTTTATGTGCACGTCAACAACTAGGGTACTACTGTGCTTTTACCAGAGCAGCATTTTTCACTGTCTTCGTTTCGTCCCAATACCGAAGAATGAGCGTACGCCTAGTATTTTTCACTAAAGTTATTTTATACCCCGATAAAACGTATGTTCGTGTTTTGATGGATAACATTATCAGACATACCACAGGGATTGTACATTTTTTTAAGATTTACATCTTTGAATCACTTCCATGTTCATAAGGGGTTTGAATATAATTTTGAACAAAAGTCAATGAATAATTTTTAGTTACGACCAATATGCCAACTTAGCTTGTTTGTGTACAACTTTAAATGAAGTCTTTTGTTCCAAATGTAATGCTATGTAAGTTGTCTGTCGAGATGTATATCTAGGTATTATAAATTTATAATATAATAGTATTGTAACTATATATTATATAGTTGGATTGTAGAAGCGTCATTCAATGTTACTGGGGAAAAGTTTGTGTGCAAAAAAAGTTGGTAACAAAATTATTTATTTACAAAATTTACAGATTTGGACAACTATGTTTTGTCAAAACACAGCACCAACTCGTAACTGTTGGTGTAAGGGAAGAGATCAACAGGAACAGCTGTTTTGAGAATGTAAGGTCTAGACGTTGAGCCCATAACCTCACACAGCTGAACAAAGTTCTTCATAGTAAGAGGATTATCAGGTCTGCATGAAATATAAACAACTCGTCTGATTTGCTGATTCTTCCTCAACATGCTGATGACGCCTTCGCCTGTAACACAAGGCTGAGGTTAACACTCGTTAGTGGAAGAAAAATCACTTGGCTAGGAATAAGTTAAGTAAAAGGGAATTCTCAGTTCTCAGTCTCAGCTTTGCCACTGAGGATGCCTCATCATAGAAGTGAAACGTCTGGTTTTGTAAATAAATAATCAAGTAAATTCCGACTTGACTGGCTCTTGGAAGACCGAGAATTCTGGGATGACAACGGCCACTAGCAGTTGACAAGACACAAAAAGTTCACAACACAACTAATTTGATATTTCACACTTAGAAATTCAACTAATTCCTTTTAAAGAGCCCCTTTTTATGGATGAATTAACAAATTTAAGTTTTCACCTTTTTGTGAGCTGTCAACTGCGAAGAAATTTTTTGGGTAAGTTAGTTGAGTATCCATCCAAGGCCACAGTAGAAAAACAGGCCATGCTGCAGCACGGGCAGTGCAACACTACGTCACAGTGGTGGATAGTTGTACTAAAATCTTAGCGTAAAAATGTGACAAACAGCCAGATTTATTTACCTAAAACATATGGGATATGGCAGTGAATCTATCCACTAGTGTGACTTCATCGATCCTGCAGCATGGCCTGTTTTTCTAGTCGGGCCTTAAAGCTTGATAGCGCAATGGATTGTTTGCCCAGTTAATATGGCTCAGGATAACTGATAGTTTTATGATATAACACACGATAAGAGTTCAACATTCGTAGTAAATTTTTATTCTCATTATTTCAAATACATACTGTTGGATTTGCTAAAGGGGTGACTGAATAATTCTCAAGGTGTACTTCAAGGCGTTAATTTACTAAGCAAATTTGGCACAGCTTGAATACTAATGTATCGTGTAAATACAATCACAACATGTTAGGTTAGTAATATAAATAATTTGGCAACTACTTATTAAGACGAACAAGAAAAAACAAGGTGGCCTGAACCGAACATTCTCAGGACTTTATGGTTGAGACTAGTGGGCTGGGTCTGGACCTATCACCACAAAGGAGCAACTCAGAATATGTAGACCTGCTCAGCTCTTCACAATTGTTAAAAGCAAGGATATTATGTGGAAATTAAATAGTTTCATCTTGTTCAACTTACTTGCACCAGCTCGACCAGGATTTACAATGGCAACAATGTCTGAAGAATATTCCAACTCTGACAATATCTTGGCCAGTTTCTGAAAATCACAAACGAATTACAAATCAATTTTAAATTTATGATACAATCCTAAAACCATGGATTTGACCACGGATACACATTTGCCACGTTGAACAATTACTTAGAAAAACCATCATAAGACAAGCATTTCATGTACACTCTGTGTGACAGGGAAACATTTCATTTCTCATTTGATTTTAACCTTATCTAATTTTTTAGCACTCATTATTTTAGTAATGTATAATTTATCTCAATCTCAATTAAATAGGGGTCTATGAGCCAAACTTTTTATTTCGGGTCGGGTCTAACATTTTCGCCTTCACTTAGGCTGAAATTTTATCTAGCCAAAGTCAGGTTGACTTGGAGTCCATCATAAAACTACAATCAGGTTAATATTGTGTATGATCTCCATGTCGTGGTAAATTCATGAATACTTCAATTACATCATCACTGCCTACCAGTATTGTGACAACCCCGTGAACATCACCCAGGTTTAATTGTCAATTTTTCATCTGGAATCTTTGGAGATATTTCTAAAATCGTAAAAATAAAAGGTCAATCTGTCCCGAGCTTGGACAAAAATTATTTCAGTCTTGGACCACCCCTCGGAATTGGAACGCCAACAATTGAAACCAAAACGGTTGTTCAGGTTACATACCATCTCTACTTTGCCTGCCACAAAGGTACAGTTGGTGATGTTGTTGATGTTAGCGTTGTGTTTTGCGTCTTCCACAGCCGCAGTGACCTGTTCCACTCCTACGCTGCCTCTCACGTGACCACTAGCTAGCAGACTGATACCACCTGTTTGACATAAAATTTCATTATAAATGTTTCAAACTTATCTTACTTCATAAATGAGCCAACAAAATTGTAATTGCGTAACACCAGATGTATGGATATTTCTTCACCCATACGTGAGGTTTTGTGTCTTAAAATAGTCAGGTCAGAATTTCAAATCTGATCTATTGTAAAGTCTCACCAACTTGGGACCTGATTAGTGGTTACGCGCCAGATTGCATTTCTCAGCAAATCCATCCAGAATTTGTACACAATTTAAACATAACCCTTAAACCAATGTTAATTACAGCCTAACAGTGGCAAACTACAAAAATATCTATCTTCAATAGTTGACTCTGTGGACTGTCTTTGCCATTTGGCTTTAGCGCTACTTGCGAGTCACATATTCCTGACATCCACAAGCCAGTTAGTCTGTATTCTGTCAGTCAACACATTAACCTTAGATTTAATAGAAAAATTAAGTCATGCATTTTCTCTGGTAAATTGTATGGATTTCAATATTAATGTATTATCTATATTTAAGAACAAAGGAAATGTACTAAGGATCACATTTTGATGTTTGGCCCTGTTCCCTGGTTACGTGCCATTTTACAAACTCCACACTTTGTTAGTCCTAATTACGCCAGAAATTTATGGTGTAAGCTTTTTTTATATGACCAGAAGACTAACATCGTTAAACCATCAATGGATAGCCATCAACATTTTGGAAACTGTTCCCTGCTGACCTACTTTTCAATAGTTATAGGATTTTGGTGAGGAGCAAGCTTACCTTAATGGGAAAGAGTTTAATGGCGCAAGACACACAAGAACTTACACTATACAAAAAGATTCTCTAATTGTTCATGTACAGTGTAAAGTTTTTTGTTTCTTGTGCCATTGGACTTGTGCCAATCTCTTGTTCAATTGAGGTAAGCCTACTATCCTCACAACAAAATCCTAAAAACCTAGGCTCGTCCTCTGCTTTTCATTTTAAGGGTTGTTTGATTAAAAAGTGTATTTTTTCAAGTCATCAATTCAAAAGCTCAACCTATAGAATCAGGTTCACCACACCAGTTCCACAGTAGAGATCCAGTAGTGTGGTGAAGTGTTTGGGTTTAGCCATTCCCAGCGCTATGTCGTACATGATCTCAGCCGCAGGTTTGTTGATTTGGAAGAACGAGTCGGGGGAGATTCGGAACTGTAGACCTGCCAGGGTCTCGTACATAAACGGCTCACCTCGAAGATTATGAATCTTTGCCACCTCTCGGGGGCATTTCACATGCGGGCTGCACAAACAAACAGTAAATTAGCTTCTGAGTCGTGGGGCATTGTGCATATTATTAAGTTTACGGTTAGAATTTACAATAGAGAAATATGTCTAACAACACTTAAATAACTTCTTGATCAGCATTGTACGTGTTATTAAATTTACGGAAAGTAAATAAAAGAAACGTCTTATAACACTTAAAATATATATTTACGCTTATACTGTTACTCACAAGACGGTAAATATACAAAAACGATGGTAAGTGGTGATCGATTTCGATTGGACACTCCAATCATCATCAGACCCAATAGGCGAATCTTAAGTGTTTAAGGTAATTTCAAATGTTATAAGACGTTTCTTTTATTTACTTTCCGTAACACTTAAATACGTTTACACTTTTTACAGGTGGTAAAAGGATACGCAGAACAAAAATGACAGTATCACCAACCAGGATTGATGAAAGAGGGATGTTTCGGGGCTGTGTCGTTTGAAATGCTCAGCCATGATCTCTTGCTGTTCCGTTATTTGATCTGGAGTGAGTGTGGAAGGGTGAGTGATTATAAACGCTTGGTGGTCCCCCTTGTCATTGGATCTCACTATCAAACTGCGCCAGAAACCACCATCAAACAACTGATAGCTTGCGGCCAGCGGAGATGAACTCACCAGATCTTGATAAATCTGAAATAGAATCTGAGTAGAATCTTGAGTAAGAAGTGTTAAAAAAGTATTGCTGAACTTTTGATTAAAAGTTTGGAGTGAATATTTTGAAAATTAATCAATACAATATGAGTTTTCTCTTAACGTCCCTATTCAGAACTGTCAACTTAACTGTTTTTACATCATCATAGTTGATTACCGACACATTTGACCCGACCCTTGCTCACTCAGTAACATCTTCTAGGTACCCTACAGTCCTCACCTGATCAAAATTGCATTTTATTTTTATTTTTCTTAAGGTACTTAATATCCAACCTTAAGGATACTTAAGGGTACTTAGTAGGCTAGCTTACCTTTGCTAATTCCGTGTGAGACTCTTTAATGCATTTCAAATTATTTGCAGGCACGGATACCACCTTTCCCGCTGCTGGAATGCCGATAAAATATCCAACAGTTTTTGGGTTCCCATCTACACCCATCCAGATGTTAAACTCGTTCTTGTTGCGATAACAGTCTCGAGAGGGCTGGAACAAAATATCTGTAGAGCTTAGCGAGACTGTAATTTGCATACTATTACTATGACATAGTAGGACTTTCCTTGTTCCGTTATGAATCAAACGATACCAGACATGAGTCATACTTTCGCGCGCCAAATCCCCTACTAATAGGCCAAGGTCAGCTCGTTGACCGGAGCACGCGCATCACCTGTAACTGCCTATCTGGGGTATTTGGCGGGCGAAAGTATGACTCATCTGGTATCGTTCTATTCATAACGAAACGAGGAAAGTCCTACAAACATACTTATTATAACGCAAATTAACATAACTGCCTCTGCACGCTGTATACCTACTTGCCTGAGTATAGCGGCAGTGAAGCATTCAAGTCAATCCTCGCCGACATAGCTGCCTTCTGGGAGGCAGAACTCAAAGGCCGCTAATCGTAATCATGTCAAATTTGGATAGTAGTCAATTAAAGTATGTTCTTTCCCAATTATGTAGTTATTTTTGGTCTCCGGTAAAAAAAATCCCTCTAAAATAAGGGGCCTCCGGAAAATACCAAAGTACCGTATAAACTTTATAAATATTGAAATACACCCTTGAAATATGCTAGTGGATCACTACAAAGATGTATCAAATTGAGTGTTATTTTATATATCAAATTGAGGTGTGATTTTGGGGGTAAACTACTAACCACTATCTCTGTACCACTAAACAGCTAATATGTGGAGCAAAACCTACCATCTTATTACCTACTCTTCGTCTTTGACCAGCCAGAGCCGGATGGACAGCGATAAAATATGAAAAAAATAAACAGATGTGGATGTACAACACAATACTTACAGAAGGAACTATTCTTTTCATAACACCTTGAACATCTTCTTTTCTTCTGGATAGTTTATAAAACAAGTATTCAAGGGTTTCTGCACACATTTTTTGCTTGTAATCAAGCTCTTCTTCGTATGACATTTTCCAACATGGTGTGATCATGTCTGCCAGCACTTCATGTTGGTTTTCTATGTTCACCCTATTAACAAAAGCCTTGTGTCTTTCTATATTTGCTTTGCTCGTAATTTTGAATGGATGCACAACCTGAATGAGAAATGCATTAGGTTAGTGAAATTACCTAGTTAGAAAAAAATGCAACTTTGGCAACAAACTCTCTGGTGGAAGAAATGTTTTTTTCCCGCTATGTTGTATTTGTCAACAAAATGGTTCTCATATTTAACTGTAATGGAGGGTAGCATAGGCAAGCTAGGTTGATGACCTGTGGTCAGACTTTGCTTGCTATGAAGTGTGCTGGAGGTGTTTAGTAAACACTGCATATCACATAACCATTGGCTCGGTGGTCACAAGGAAGCGTGAAATAGGATGTTACTAAATAAAAGCATTGGTGGGCACAGTCATCCTGATGATGACCTGGAGAGTGATAACTAATGATTGGACCTGTGTGTCACATTTTGTCCAGGGTATCATCCACCCCAAGAAGCCGAACTTGACTGGGATGTGGCCTTGGTCATAAAAGAAATGAATGCCAAACCCAGTGGGTAAAAATTCAGTTTCCACAACTCACCTAAAACGCACTTCCTGAAGTGTGAAATTGTGTAAAAGGTTTATTTAATGGTTTTGGACTTTACTGATGGGCGGAAAAGTCATTATATGACCGAAAATATTAATTTCCTAAGTATATCCAAAAAATCATAAGTACACCAATTTACACAATTCCACACTTCATGAAGTGAATTAAGAACCTAACTGACAATAAACAACTCGTACAAACACTTACGCAATCAATGCCTTCTAACAGTCGAAGACGTCATCAGCGCTGTGGAGGGTAAAGCTGGCCAGCAGCTTTGAAAAAATGGTGGATACGTTCAAGCGGCGAATAACGTTGCTTGAATTGGAATTCGGCCAAATATCCCACGAAGTGTTTTTTCCGAATCCCATACCGGGGGATGGTTGCCCGCACCTCCCTCCAAACACCTCCAATATTGTTCGTGTGAGCACCAGTCTCGGGATCAACGAAGTTCACAGAGTGGTTGACTTGAAGATGCCTGAACCCCTCCTGGCCTAGACAGTCGTACGCCCTCCAGCAGTCGCTGATGATTGTTGCGCCAGGAAGGACCCACTCGCGAATCAATGCCAGCAAAGTCGCAGAGTCCCTTGATTCCACAGGAACAAGGAAGGTCCTCTTTGTGTTCACGTCAATACCACCGAACACCCACTGTCCTTCTATAACTCGCCCGCGATTATATTTCCGCCGTCCGAACTTCGCCTCGTCAATTTGCACAACCGCCTGCGGTCCACCGATCCTCTCCGAACGGTCCACCATTTGATTGACGTACACCTCCCGGGTGAACGAGTACCAATCAACAATGGTCGCGCTGGCAATCCCCAGCTCCCGACGAATGAAGGCCTGACGAGGTGGTTTCAGGTGTAGAAAAATAGATACAAAGACAAATATCTGCTCAACAGATAAATGAGAGTTCTCTTTTAAGTGCGTTTTAGATGAGTTGTGGAAACTGAACAATAACCTGTGCGATAAATTAAAAACTCTTTAAATGTGGTATTTAGGCCTAGCCTACATTTCCAGAAAAATATTCCAAAATGGAACCGACAGTTACAAAAATTTAAAATTGATAAATAGGCCTAGGCTGATGTTAATTCAATTTGCAACAAACTCTCTGGTGGAAGAAATGTTTTTTTTTTTATTGATTCAACCGATAACCAAACTTATCCTTCGGTTAACCAACACGAAATGTCTAGCATATAGGCTAGGCTATAGATTGTAGCAATTGATAGAACGAGTCAGATATCAAGCTATTGCTATTGCTACTTTTATTTCAGAAACATTATCAATTACATCACGCGGCCTAGCTTTTAAAAGCTGGGCCTGGCTTTTAAGGCTGTGATACTGTGATGACTAACTAGGATTAAATTTCAACTCTTCAATTGTTCTATATTTTCTTTTGAAAAATGGAGTAAACCGTTTTAAAATAAAAACGGCCTTAAGTTAGTTATTTACCGGGTGATTTAACCTGGCTATTACCTGTTGTGCGAAATGTCGAGTGAGCCCATATATTACGTTTCCAGTAGATTCAAGACAATTTTCAAGCAAAAAACTTTTCTTTTTTAGAAAGATAGACATTATAAAAAAAAGATATTATCATTGACTATTGAATACTGAAGTAGGCCTATTAAAGAGCCTATTAATAGTTATAGATATTATTATATTTTGTCAAATTGAACTTTAAGGTTACTTAATACTTTCTTTCTGATATGATGTTTATGTTTTTGATTTTCTTAACATAAACATAACCTCCAAAATGTGTTTCTTCCATCTTCCATGTTTTTTAATTGAACGCTTGCTAGAGTTCAAGTCATGAAGCCTAAATCTCCAATTACTTAGTCCTAAACAATATTATCATTGATTAACAGAGGTATAGTCAATTATAGAGAATAGATTATCTTATTAAGTAAACGACAGAACCATATTTATCTGATGTTATGATTACGCTGTTATTGTCATGTTAATGTTCAACAAAGATTTTAATAATACCCCCGCCGCAGCAAACCTGCACACTAAGCGAATTTCCACTTGTCTGATTACATTTTTACTAAAATATTTCCATAAATAAGACATATTTATTCCCAATTTAAATAGCATTAGATTTAAAGAGTGCTTAGGTTTGCTGCTACGGGGAAAGTAAAAAGTGTTTTTTGACCAAACGTCAATAATAGTATATTATGAAATAAATAAATTTGCTAAATTTTATTAACATATATCCATAAACAAGTAAACTACAACAGTTATCATTTTCTCCATAAGAATAACATGAGAATTTTTAATTTACACTTTTTTGAATTTTTTCAGTAACCATTAGGCATACAACAATGCTTCAATATACTTAATTGTTTCTTCTTTTAAGCTCTACAAAATGGTTGGGAAAGATATTCCAAAATTTTATGTTTTTAGGGTCAAAAATGGGGAAAACCCATTTTTACCCCATAAAACCCCCCATAAACCCCCGTTCCCATGGTGAACTCCTTAGAATAAATGTAGATTTACACGTTTATACCAAATTTCATCAAAATCGGATCATTTTTGTTTGAGTTATCGTGCTAACGGACACATATAGACTCCAGGTTCAATCCATAGGTTTCAGTTAGCTTTGAAATAGTGATGGGATAACCGAATGGTTTCCATGACCGAATAATCAATCGGTTATTTTTAGTTGAATGAATCACCGAATCAATTTGAGTCATTATTCACTGTCACAAAACACAACTAATTTTTATCTTATGGGAAACTGAATGGCAATTAGCACAGAAAACATACTACTATAACCCAGAATGCCAACCGCATGGTAAAAAGCATTAAGTGTTTTGAGAGAGCTTTGCCTGTCAATCGTAGGCAGCGCTCACCAGCGTTGCCATGCACTCAGCATAGCCTGGCATTCTGGGTTATAGTAGTATGTTTTCTGTGTAATTAGTCTTTTAGCGTCAATCGGTGATTTTTTGATTTTTAGTCGAATGAACCGCCGAATAAATTTTAGTTTCCTGATGATGTGACAAACTAAATAACTATATCACCGAATCGCTCGGTAAGACTAATTTAACCGAACCAGGATAAAATAACCGAATTAGTCTATTCAGCATCAATAACCGATTGATTCGGTTATTTTTATTCGGTGATTCCCACCACTACTTTGAAAATAATGTTGTGTTCTTAAAATTCTTTCTATTTATTATCCTTTGTACTGTTAATTAATAATAAAGTAATTAAATAGATTTTAACGTTGATGAACAGTAACATGCATTACACTAATAAACGCTTTATTGAACAAAGAAATGCTTGAAAAGGTTTGTAGTTATGTAAAAAAACCAAATCATGATTGTGATTAAGCTTGCAATCCACAATTACAAAAATATTGATTATAAACAAAAATGAGGATGTGATCAAAATATTTCTAGTTCTGTAAAAATGAAACTTTTATGTTAGCCTACAAAAAAGCACAATTAACTGTGGATTTTTACTCTATAATTTTTTGAAAATTTTAAATTATATTGAAGCTATAACAAATGTATATTTTCTCTATAAACTGCTTTTGAGTTAATCGACATCAACACATTAAAAGATCATCTCTGGCTGACCATCAGTGGCAAAAACATCAAACTTGAATCACCCATAGATGTTCTTGAAAAATTTTTAACATCAATGGGTCAAACACTATTAATTAATTGTTAAGTTAACATTTGACTGTATTTATATTCTAGAACAATGTTCTGATTTCAAAATGAAATTTGAAATGTGTTGAAGTTGAAGTAAATATTTTGTAAAATTTAGCGACATAACCTTAACCCAATCTCAAGTAGGTAGTGTTAAACTGATCAAGAACTACTTTAAAAAGCACAACTCTCCATACACGTATAGCCACGTACCTCACATAAATGTTGATACCGACACACATACATTTTTCATTTTCTTTACAAGCCTAGTTTAAAAATAAATAGATAGGCCTACACATTCAAGGATCAAAATCAAAACACATTTTGAGCATCATCTGTTTATTCTTTTCTGTCCAGGTAAAAGCACTTGTCTGATGTTAATGTTTATGCGGGATGTTTCAAGGTATTTGCCGCAGTCAGTGGTCTCCCAGTCTTGACCGACCCATGGTCTACTGCTGGTGGGGATGATCCGAGGAACTCCGTGATAGCATTTTCTAGAGTGGCCCGACATAACTACAACGTCTCCACTATGGAGCATCATGGCTGTAACTGGGTCGTTTAGACTTTCACCTCCGACCAAGAACACAGCTGATTGACCAAAGCTGGAACAAAGAACCCATGTAGATTGATATAGTTTTTGGTTGCAGTAATACTGTAAATAGTCGCGCAATAGACAACTGACGGCCATGATATAACATGGACACATCACGGCCATGTGAAAGCAAACACTTCAACAACAACATGTAATAGCAGTAACATCATCATGCCATTAAAGTAACATCAACATGTGGAAGTAATATTAACGTGTGATAGTAAGTAACATCAATATGTGATCACGATCACAGCAATATGAAAATGTGACAATAGTAACATAAACATGTGACAATAGTAACATCGAGACAGGACTAACAATCAAAAGGTCGCCGATTCGATCCTGAGAAAAGTCAGTAGCTTTTTGATGGTTCAAAACTGGACCCAGCTCTCCCTGATCATTGGGTTTCAAATAAATGATCCTTACTACTGAATCAGCTTGACTGTTACCATCATCAACACCAACGCTAAAGTCAAATGTGGTACACAACATTTAACGTAATTTCATGTGATCATTTGTTAAGGCCTACTGATATTAACTATTCAGTGACTGCACCTTATAGACAGCAGAGGAGATTCCATGTTAGGTTCTGACACATCCTTATGACCTGACAGTGTGGAGTCAAAGTGGTAAAAGTTTATGATTGCTGCTTCAGCACGATAGTCGTGATGCGCCTCTCCGATAGCTTCCACTATAACTTCACTCAGCTCTGCAAGATCAGACGGAAATTCTCCTCGATCTGCGTCACTGTACACCTGGAAACAAATGTTATGATTTGTGGATTTTGGATTACTGCACATACAATTTTTGTTAATATGGCTACATATTTTCAAGGCTGTTATTTATTTATAAGAATGGACTGTTAAAGGTATTATAAGTATACAAAGCACCTGTACATTTATCTGTAAACTTTGAACTTTATGTGCTAATAAACATGTTTATGATTATGATTATTCGGAACATCAATATTTGAAAATTGAACATGAATTAATGTTTTCAACTAGCTCCAGTCGTGGCCTAGCGAGCCCGTTAAAATCGTACACTACCGCTATGTTCATTACTTCCTTCACTATTATTCTTGCCAGACCCGCCTTGACACAAGGAACGATTAATCCCGTAGTACAAATTGGATACCGAAGTAAAAAAAATGTAGGCTATGCTCACGCCAAGTAATCACACTCTGTTATTAGGTTTATGGTCAACCTATTGCTTTTTTGAAATTTACTTACATCCTTCATACGTAGCATCCAATCAGACATTTTAAGTGTGTTCAAGTCCAAAAAACTATAGTTAGTTAACAAGCTTAAAATAGACACTTTTCTTAGAAATGGTAACACAATGTCTTCAACAGACATTTCTTACCAAACTGTTATATGAAGCTCTATTAGGTACATATACAAAACACCAGTTTGAAAAACCAATAAACTAGTTTGACTTATTCGTATATTTATAATTTCTGGACTCTTAATTTCTTTAGACTAAACTCTGGCTCTTAAAAAAATAATTCTCCTAATGACACACATTTTGCATGGTTTCTTAGAAAATAAAATAAAAATGCTCGACATGATATATTTAAGAACCAGATCAAATGAACAGACATCCCATATTAAACGTAGACTAAGTTATTATTTGTTCATTGTGTTTTCAACTTGGATGCATTCTATATTGTTAAAAATATTGTAGCCATGAGCTTATCCATAGCACAGAACTAGTGTTATAAACCGGGTTTAAAATGTAGTTCAGAAAAAAATACCGCTTAAATTCTTTACTCTTTACTTAACATCCTATGGAGATTAGAAACACTAATTTTAAATAACCTTGGTGTCCCAGTTATGATGGTAGCCCAACGTAGCCCATCGCAGCTTTTTCAAAAGTTTGCCATCGACTTTACAATTTCTGAAAACAAAATCAAATGAAAATTAAGTTAGGATAAAGTTATTGGAATAACGGTATAATAATGGTGAAGATAAGAGATGTCGATTCAAAAAATGTGTGTATATAGAACTTATTGAAGGAATTTGACTTATATAGAAAATTGAAAATTTTTAAGTGTAGGCATGGTCAATCATAAACTTACACATGAGCTTTTTCCCACCAGTTTTCACCTGCCTGAAGATCATCAAAAGGGTCTAAATTAAGTTTGTTGGGTTTCCTAGTATAATGTTTTAAGCACCTTTCTACCCAATACTGCTGACCCTGGCTGGTAAAAGGATTAACAATGAATATGATACCTGAAAAAAGATTAATCATTAGGGTTCATACCATAATTAGAATACATATGTTTCATAGAAACACATCTATCTATCTAGAATTGTTTTCATAGATATTCATAAAATCTTCTCTTTATTTTCTGTTTCAACTAAAAGGCCGATACTAAAAAAGGTAACATTGACTAAACACTGAACATTTTAAGAAATTATAGATAGCGTTACGTGTTACTAAAATGAAGTAGGAAAATAAGATATTTTATGAAGATCGATTTTTGACCACTGAAAATCACGTTGTTTGTTAATTTTAAAGAATGCTAGGAGTAATATTTCTTGCGATGCCCGATAAAGGGGTTTGTAATGTTAAAGGTACAATTCTATTCAAAAAATTCTCCATCTGTATTGGCATTGGAAAGTTTGTGGAATTTAACATTTCATTCCTTTGATTTACTTCTTATTCTTCAATTGATCACAAAATATAAATGCACAAAATTGTGATTGAACCAAACTTTGATTGTGGTCTGGTTCACTTAACTAATCTATTAATAATCTCCTTTGAGTGAGATAACATAACTTATGGAATGTCGATGGTTTTACCTATATTCCCAAATGTAATAGATTATAGGCCTTCAATAGGCCTACTGTATAGCTAACAAGAAAAATATAATACAAATAAAAAGACAAATGCATTTTAAACCATTAGGCCTAATTTTAGACATGTCAGAAAGTGTAAATTAGCAAATAGGCTAATAATGAGCATTTGAAATTACATCATTTGCTGATAGTATGTGGCAATGAAGATGGATGACTAGAACAATTTAGTGAACTTTTATAATTATTCCTATTAAAGGTGGGTTTTCCTAGCACCGCATTTTGTGCGGAGCGCACTGCGTCATGCGCAATCCGCACTGCGGAGCCTACTCAACAACACTGAATCAGATGCGCTATTTTCCTACACACCTCCGTGGTGCTAGTGCGCTCTGCGGAACTGGCAGACTCCTCTAAAAGCAGTCAAGTGCACACATCACTGCGCATTGGACACAAGTTTTGGCAGTTTTTCCTGTGTATTAGCAAACAGTTTTCTACCGTAGTGGTGCAATGGCTAGATTTACGGCCAGTGCGGAGCTAGGAAAACCCACCTTAACTGCTTCTTGGATTGAAAAATTAATATTAAATAAATAGATTAAATTATCTTTCATGTTATCTTTTTCTGATGACCAGTTCTGGCTTAGGTTACCCCATTGTTGAATTTCCCTAATAAGTCATCTAGGAAAGTCTGACACTTGTAATCTTCATAAAATCGAGTTCAATGGAGAGCTTTTGTTGCGGCCGTAGCGAGCGATCAAGGGAAACAATTCAAGTAAGTCAAGGGAAAGTCATTAAGAATTAATTGAGGATGGTAAAATGTACCATAACCTATTTGTTTAGAAATTTATATTTACCTGGGCTGTCTTTTAATTCATATATTTTCCACTGTTCTATACTTGTCAAATGTTGTGGTATAGCTTGGTTTTTTGTGTTACACGGCTTCTTGAGGATTACCTGGAAAAGAGAAACTAACTTAGGTTAGGTTTTAAGATAAAGGATTTTGTCAACCACAAAAAATTATTTTAGTATTATTTATTATTATTATTTTACTATACTTAGATGTAGAATGTTTAGGTTCGGTTGGGTACATTTAGCTTTCACTAGTACGTTTAATGGACTGTGCACACTAGAACGGTCGATACAAGACTTACGGACGGATGGATGATGGGTACCTCCACAACCTCCTCAGCATTTGTGCTGGAATTACAATAGAACATCCGTAACTTACCGTCCAAACTGAAACACGTGCGCCCATTCACTGCAGACAGTGTCGAAGCGACGGATGACTCATCAGTACGGTACGGTATGTCAAGACCTTGAAATATTTTTCAGAAATTTCTTTCGGACGGTGGAAGTTGCAGATAGTCCTGTCCCGACCTTGACTGCCTAGTGCATGCACACATAGGCAAATAAAAATACTTAATATTTTTTCCCCCCATACCTACTAACCTACTAAGCGTTTGTGCCGTCCCAACCCAGTGTTACTCTGGAATAAAAACGGCATTTAATTTGCCTCAAAAGAACAAGGGATCAAAGTGATTAGAATTGCCCTAATTTAGTCAAAGAAAACAAAAGTTTGTGAAAATCGCATGAATAGCTTAAGTTTATAAATAAGTTACCAGTATAGCCCTAGCTCCCACTTGCACTAATAAATATCAACCAATAATTTAGATCCCAAAACATCCATTTGGTTGAACATTTTGATAACACACATTGTTTTTTTTTTTGTCTTCGCACATAATTTTTTACATTAACAAAGTCAACATTTTATAAAATTAATATGAATTGTATCAGTAAGGATATTCTATGACAATCAATTAGGCCTACCTTACCTTTTCACTGAATTTGGTGGATAATGAAGAAAAGTCTATGACATTTTCAAATGTGGGAGGAGGACAGCGGCTTTTATAAAATTTAAATTTCTCCCTAAACATGAGAGGAGACAAGACGACGAGTTTGTAACATAAATTAATTTAGAGCTTTTAGTTTTAATTAAGAGAAAATACTAAAATAAAAATAGGCCCCTACTAATTTTTTAAATGCGTAAAAGTTAGGTTATGTTTATATTTATACTTTTTATCGTATTTAGCTTTCATTAAAAAGCTGAAATAATTTTTTGACTATGCAGCTTTATATTTTAGACTGATTAACTGTCACATGTACATTAGGTAAAAAAGGTCTGAACATTTAGAATAGAATGAATTGTGTACACCCACGGCCGCCTTTAACTCTGGCTAACGGTATAAGAAAAAGGCGTTCAAGGATTGCTTGCCAAAATGAATGGGCTAAAGCCAAAAACGGCCAAAACGTGGAGAACATCAAAATCTTTCGTGTAAATTTTGATGCCAGCACACTTGTGGTGAAATGCGCAGCAAATAAATGTAAACATCAGGAACAAAAATCAACCAAACGAAAGATTAATTTAAATAATTTCTTTAATACATCTAAATTGTTTATGCATGAATGGTCAAATAATTTTACTTGTTTACATTTGCAAACTATAATCAATTTAAACTATAGTATTTATAATGTGGGAAAATGTGTTTGCCAGAACAGTTATTTTGGCCTTTATGTGATCAAGCTGATTGACAGCAGGGTGTTTATTAGTGCGCTTCATTAAAATAGTAAAATCGTAATTTGTTGTGATTTGAATGTCCCATAAAAAACATATATGAAACATTATTTAATGTTAATTGTTAAGTATCTTCATAGATAAAACATACTGCCTATTGTAATACAATACAATAAATCTTTATTCAACAGCTTCAAGCATAGAATGGTGTCATACATTTTTCAAAAGTTAAGTTACATTATATATATATATATATATATATATCAAGCGTTTATATATATATTCGGTTGTGTTGCTAGCCTAGTGGTTAGCATCTCGGACTTCGGTGCGGGAGGGACGGGTTCAATCCCCGGCACATCCACAAAACTTTAATGGGTTCGGACCACTTTCCCTTAAAAGTGTTTAAATGACTTCATAATAAAATTCGGTGTCTTAAAACGGTCCTGGATAGTAGGGTATAATTAAGTTCGTCCGCCCGGGTCGATCCTGAAAGTTAGTAGTTTTTTTATCCTTCAACTCTGGACCACACTAATCCCTTGATCATCAAATGCGACTATGGCTAATGGCTAATGAAACAGGTTACAGGTCTTAGTCAGTAACAAAGCTGCTTATTGCTTTTCTTTCTTGATTATACACTAATCCCTCAATCATTAAAATAATACGCTATAGAGCATGTACTATATACGTTCGCTAATATATAATCTAATGTAATGTTTAGTTATATGCTTATGCATGATTATATGCCTAAGTGTTAATGTGCTTTCATTTGTTAACCTCTGACCCACATCTTCAGGAAAGATTTCTGATAGGATTGTTTTTAATTCTAAATATTGGTCCAGACACACCAAAACAAAAATCATCGCAATGTAATATACTACTGCTTAAAAATAAAATAATGTAAGTGACTGCTTACGGTCTTTACGTACTACCGTATTGCATAAATATAGTTTTAGCGCAAACCACCCCGATCTTCGATTATTTGAATAGTAGCCAAATTCAAATTGCCATGGTAGAATAATTGGCTACGTTGCAAGTAGTGTTGTCTAGCGCCAGACATCCCATAAGATAACATGGCAGACAGGTGACACCAGCTCATTAATTCGCGTCAATTTATTTAAATTTATTATGAACATAAAATTATTAAAATATTGAAAATAAAACATAGAATTGAAAACCAGAACAATATTTAAATTGAAAATCTGTTTGTACATTTAAAGTGAATTCAATATTTTCATAGCCCAGTAAACACCATTATTTTATTTTATTACTTTATATTCTTTATTACTTTTATCATAGATAGAACATGCGCTTTTATATTCTCTAGGAAATCCATCTAGGTAAGGCCACACTCCCTGGGGCTATGTATGTTTCATAAAGGTGATGTTGAGTGCAATGTGCAATGATGACAACTTGATTTTTTTTATTTAGTTTAGATTTTTTGGATTTGCGTTTTGTATTTTGGTCGTAATATTAGAAAACTTTTGCTTATTCTTGATAAATTCTTTAAGGAATATGATTAATACCATACACATTAATACTATTTCTGATTTAAAATGGATGCGGTTTTTTATCTATGGTTGTTACTAAATATATGTTATAGCAATTAATTGATAACATCTATTGTTGAAATTTGGTTATCAAGTTTATTGCAATTTTGACATTTTATATAGTACTACTTTATAATAGTCGATTTGCGTCACATTTACGTCATGTTCAGAAGCAAGTTCTGTTTGTCTACTTATTTACTGATGAGCCAATAGGAATCCGTTTTCCAAAACATCAAGAATTCGTCGCCATCTTCGTTACAAGATTTTGATGATGGTAGTTTTCGATCGTGTGTGAATTTCCGTTTTATCGTTTCTTTTTATTTCATGTAAGTATTCAAATGTTATACGATGTTTGTTCTGGGATTGTTTTATATTTTAATGACCGATAATTTGTCTGACTCGCATTGTTCCGCAGAAATAAACCGCGATTCTGCACCCGCGCGGGAATACTGTAAACCATGGTGCACACTTGCTAATGCGTAATTTCCTTACAACTTCTCTTTGTTTAAAGTGTAAAGCTTTTGCCAGGTTTTAATGTTTTAACCAGGTTGATTAATAATTCCTATTTTATTTAGTATAAGATAAGACTATTATTTTTTAATGTGGGTGGGCTTACTACAGCTTATAACGGATTATATTTTTCATGGTTTAATCAACCATCAATTTCTAAGGCCTTGGTGGATCTCAGTTCTAAACAATCTCTCTGAATTCGTTTTACGTTATTGTTGTAGGGAATCGTTAGATGTTACACATAACAGTGTTTTCTAATCAACAAAAAGTTAAACATGCTTTTTTAATTCTAGCCTAGGCCTAGGCCTACTTGTAGTATACTTGTTTACATCTAGGTCTTGGCTAAGATTATCAAACTCCTATTCCCAATTATTATAACATAACATGAACCATATTAACTAACAAAATTCAAGAGAACATCATGACCAAATAATACTGTACTCGAAGAGTTGAGTTAGGCCTCTTGTATAATTTAAGTTAGGCAGCCTGTTCTAAGTCATGCCTAGGCCTACTAGAAATTTGGGCATTATAACCGCTCCCCCAAATCAGTTGACGTTTTGCTTCACTTAAGTGGTTCAGGCAGCACCCCAAAGAACCTGGTACCGGTAGGCCTACTGTTACTTAAAGGACTTCTCTCCAAAAGGAATTTTGTCCTGTCTGTGTTTTGGTACCTGCTACCTAACTCACAAGTGTAGGCTTAACTTAAATAAATAATAACTTAAATAAATAATAACTTAATTTAAGTTAATTTAGACCTACTTAGACTAGCCTAGCCTAATTCAATAAGTACCTAACGTAACCTATAAACTTAAGTTTAGTTAATTCTTAAAGATTGTTGACCTCTTAACTTATAGGAAAGTTTAAAGGACTTGATAAATATTTTACTTTGGGCGTTAGGCTAAGTTAAATAAAGGGTGTGTAATGTTAAATAATGAGTGTGCTGGGTCTGAAAGCCTAAGCTTTTCTCTATATATTAAGACAGTGTCGCTAAAACAGTTATCGGTCTATAACTTAGTTTGAAATATTTGTCTTCTCTCCCTAGTTGTATTTTGGATAGACTAAGGCTATTTTTGCTAGGTCTGGTACTGTTGCTTGTTTAATTGAAGCATTTATCAGGCCCTACATTTAAAAGGGGCTTAATTATTTGGTTCTTACAATGCTTAATTAATTTAATTACGTTATCTCATAGATCCCTGAGGAATATTTTTTTAGGGGGGGGGGGATCCTATGCTCATTTCCATCATCATCATCATTCGCTCAAGCTCTTTTTTAGTTACGGTCTTAAATTCTGATAAAGAGTCTGGTTCGGGCTAGGAGGATTTTAAACACTAAGGCCCGGTTCAAACGAGCGACATACCTAGCAGACTAGGCTGTGACTAGGTAAGCCCGACTGGGTAGCAGACCACAGGATCAAATATAGCCATTCACATGAGCATATGACACCGACTAGCTAGTCGCGTTCGAGCTTGATGTCCTAAAACCTAGTCGGGCCCTGCTTCCCAGTCACTCGTGGCAGCTACCCAGTCGAGCTGCGTAGCAGTACACGTAGCCTTATGGGAGCTTTCACACGAGCGATCGGGTAGTCACGCTGCAGCTCGCATTCTTACCTTTGTTCTCATTGTGCACCAGTGATGGAACCGAGTGGTTTTGTACCGATATTTTCACCTAGTCCGTGGACATGTTGCTCGTGTGAACCGGTGTATCCTGTGTTAATGCTACATAGTAGGGCTTACCTAGTCAAAGCCTAGTCAGCTAGAAAAGTCGTTCGTGTAAACCGGGCCTTAGAGGACACGCTGTAGTTTCGTTGAAGCCAGCGTACTGGGGAGGGGGGAGGCAGCGCTACTCACTCGCTCCCCCTCTCATACTGCATTTTATGGGTTACTGGGAGATTTGGTAACAGAAATATCAATTAACTACTGTATTTAAAAATTAAACTAAATCATGCTACATAAATTAAAAATTTTAATTCTAACCGTAATATTAGGAAGGAACCTATTAAGAGGAAAGTCATAGTTATGAATCAATAGTACGTTCAAAGGTGAGTAATTTACACAAAGATGACTTATTTTTTAGAATTTGTTGTCCTTGTTTTTATTTTTGCCATACTTAGGCTATATTGTGTATTTTTTTAAATACTATTCATAAATTAAAACTCAAATCATGAGTACCGGTAGTACTGTATGTGTATTTGAACATTTCTTAAAGAGAAATAAAATAAGTTTCAATCCTTTAAAAGAATGATAACCTCACTTTGGCATCAGAAGACGCAATGATAGTTGAACTTTTACATTTTTTACTCAAAGTTTCTTTGGGCAAACAGATCAAATATAGTTTAGTATGATATTAAAAAATCAAGAATTTGATTGCCAAGAAATCATTTTACTTTTTATGTTTGTAATTTAATTGTAACGGCTATTGGTGTAAAAAAGTTACCGTACAGCGGCTTTGCATTTTTTCTTAACTTTGGCTATAAATCACCTGCCTTGCACATAAATGCCCTTAAACTAGTAAAATATGGTGTTAAAAAATCGATAAAACTGTGAAAAATGCAAATTTAAAATGTATTTCACCGTATTTCATGTATTTGGTTTTTTTTGGTTAAAATTTTTAATTTATTAATTTTTAATTTTATTATTTTCTAAATAGGTACCACTTTTAAATATAGGTAAATAGGTATACAGGGTTAGGCAAAAGTCTGGAACCCCCCAGTTAACTTTTTAACGCGATGCAGTATGAAAACCAAACTCAGCACATTTCTTATGTTGTAAATATGTGCTGAGTTTGGTTTTCCTACTGCAACGTGTTAAAAAGTTAACTGGGGGGTTCCAGACTTTTGCCCAACCCTGTATATTTTTTATTTCGAGAAACTCTTAAGGAACACGAATAAATTGTTAATTTGTACGGATACATCATATTTTTTTCTAAAACGTAATTAAAGTAATAATATGTTCAAAGTCCAGGCGAATTCTTTCAACTTTGGTCTTTTCTTTTTGCCACTCCCCCAAAGCAGAACAACGAGCGACGCTGCGACATTGTCGCGGACACGAAACGCCGAGAAACGCGGGCCTGCGGACACATTTACGGAGTCATAACGACGATCGCGCCGTGGCCGCGATTATTGGACCGACGATCGCACCGTGACCGCGAGTCATAACGACGATCGCACCGTGACCGCGAGTCATAACGACGATCGGGCTGTGACCGCGAAGTCATACCGACAGTCACGCCGTGACCGCGGAGCCACTCTAGTGTTCTGCTAAAGCTGGCTTCACCGCAACATGTGTATTCCTATTCGCGTGCCCTCTCCTTAATGTTTAATCCTCCTAGGGTTCGGGTGGTGTCAAGTCCGGTGCTAGGTTGTCAAAATCAGTAACTTATTTGGTATCTCAGCAGGTTTAGTTTTGCCGAGAGTGATGATGCCAACAAAATTAGGGGAACGGTTAAAATTTTTTCAATTTTAGCGATTTTCCCATATAGGGAATAAGCTATTACAGTAGAACCTCGGTAATCCGTCACCTACGGGACCGGGAGCATGGTCGGAACAGCATAAAGGTCGGATTATCAGAGGAACGCGTTTATTGACATAAAAGCATAGTAAAACTGTATTTTGAACAGACCCCGTAACTGATATCCATGGTTAATCCAACATGACATAAAACAGTTCCAACTCAAACTAAATAGACGTTAATGTAATAATTTGCATATTACATCATAAAGTACAATTAGTAGGCTATTGCGCAATCTTGATAATTATGTTATGTCATTATCCTTGGTTCAGTAATAAAAACTGTAACGTTTAAAATCACAGCTTTTTCAAACTTTTACTCAAACAAATTGCCAACCATTGTACAGCAAAATAAAGAACAGAACATTAGAAAGTCTAGTTAAGCTACTGCTAGTCATAGGCTACTGCTACGCTGTTTCAGGACAGAAGAATGTCGATAAAAACATTAGATAACGTATAAAAAAAGTATAAATAATAGTAGCCTACTTATAGCATAACAACAGTCGTAAAATACACCGATAAAGATAACAATGACATAAAAACATCGCTTATTCTTTCTCTTTGGTCTTCTATTCTTTCTTAAGTTTCTCTTCGTCCACCCATTCAACAAGTTGCTATGGTTACTAAACACCCAATCACAGGCTACTAAAGTTGTCATGATTACCAAATACCCAATCACAAAAGGTTTTTACATAGCAAGCGCACAGCAGACAGATGTGTCGTGTGTATGCCTAAGGAGCAGACGATTGTCAGTGCAAACGGATAGCTTGACCTTGAAGCTTTGATCGGCATTCCTTTGTTTTGCTTCCATTTTATTTTTGTCAAATGAACTGTGATTTTCCAAAACACAATAATGTGGAAGCCTACTTAATATTATTTATGGGCAGACATGGTTTAAAAATATACAACAAATTTCAACACATTAGACAAAAAAAAAACACAATTTATAAAGTTTTCTTGGTATTTTTCTTTGAAAATGAGGTTATGTTAGTGGAAGCCTATTGTGTTGGCTGCACAGTTGGACCAAGCGAGGAGTCGGACCATCAGAGGTCGGATTAGCGATGTTCTACTGTACCGTAGGTCTCATGGTAAGACCTAAACCCGGGACTGATTTACTTTTTTGTTTTGATGTCCACAGAGGCCAAAAACACCATCTGTTCAAACTCATATATACCCAAGGGCTTCACCCCGTTTGACTTCATAAGTATTAATAAAACTATTGATTGGTTAAGGTAAGCTGAAACAAACATAACAGAATAAGTTACCGTAATACAAACAAATAATCACACCTGATTTTAATAAGGTAATAAA